GAGACTCAGAGGGGATATGTTGGCGACATACAGGTATGTGAGGAGATGTCACATGGAGATGGGTAGAGACCTGTTCTCCCCTGCAGAGGAAGGCAGGACGTGCTCCAACGGAGCAAAGCTCAGGGAGCCAAGGTTCCGTTTGGATGCCAGGAAGCACTTCCGGACAGTCAGGACCCCGAGGGCGTGGAATGGGCTTCCCCGGGAGGTGGTTGAGGCCCCATCGGTGCGGGTGTTCAAGGATAGGCTGGACGTCCACATGGTGGGCATGTTGTGAGCGGAGCTGGGGGTCAGACTAGATGGCCCGGGAGACCCCTTCTGTCTCGCTCTGTTTCTATGTTCTCCCGGACCATCTAGTCTGACCTCTGGCTCTAGCCAGCTCCGCTCATGACAATCCTACCATGTGCATGTCTAGCATGTTCTTAAACATCCTCACTGATGGGGCTTCAACCACCTCCCATTCCAGCCCATTCCAGATGATATTCGCCTTGCCATTTTTGACCACCTAACTTGGGGAATGTAGGGAGGCTGCAGAGGAAAACTTGTACCCTGACTTCTGCAGTTTGCTTCCCTCCCCATCCACTTGAACCTCCTCTTACTCCCTTTCTGAAGTAGCATCCCGAACCTCTGAGAGGTTCTTTCCTCACTGGTTTCATGGAGAGGGTTAGGGAATTGGAGTGTAGCTTCCCAGCTTTGGGGATGATGTCTGAAGGCTGTAGAATTGCTCTCTAAGTTGGTTTACTACCCAAAGTATATTTTGACTTCATAAGCTTGATATTATTGTGGTGGGTTGAATAATAATCCTGCTACTTTCTCTTTTCAGATAGTAAAGCCATTGTTGATGGGAACTTGAAGCTGATCCTAGGATTGATATGGACCCTTATCCTCCACTATTCAATCTCTATGCCAGTGTGGGAAGATGAAGGAGATGATGATGCCAAGAAACAAACGCCTAAGCAGAGACTCTTGGGATGGATTCAGAACAAAATCCCATATTTGCCAATAACAAACTTCAACCAAAACTGGCAAGATGGCAAAGCTCTTGGTGCTCTTGTGGATAGCTGTGCTCCAGGTAATCCTCATGCTATCCTTCTCTTTTCTCTTCCTCTGGCAATAACACATTGCTTGTGTTGCTAACCATAATGTGAGTGAGCTGCCTTTGCTTGAAAATTTTTGTCCAGGTGTGGAAGCTACAGCTATGAAAATAGGCTATACGTGTCTCAGTGAAGATCGGGGATCCTTAGTGAAGGATTCATTCCGAGGCAATCTGCATTCTCTAGCCATTGCTGTAGGTTGCAGTATATTAAAGATTTTGTACATGAATAAGGATTCATAAATGTCCTGGTAGTTCCTGAGCTACAGTGTTAAGTTTTGCAATGTACTGCAGGGATTCTAAAAGATTTTTTTAATCTGCAATTCTCTTGAAATTCTTGAGAAAAACACAAAACCATTATATCCGTTGCATCATTTTAGCAGTTACTAATATTGATACATCTAATTCCCAGTAAATGGGCAGCCTGGGTCAGAGTTACTTCTGTGCTGGAGTCCAGCAGGAGGCAACCTTCAGAAATTCTGTACCCCAACTCTCATAATTCCTCACCATTGACCATGCCTGCTGGGTTCAAGGGAATCGTAGCCCTAAGATCTGAAGGGCCCCAGGTTGCCTGCCCCAGGTATAGTCAGTAGGATGTGAGCTGCTACTGAGTCTTCTGGCAGGTCTTGTGTTGGAAAATTCAACACACAATTTGATTTGAAATTTGCCATCAGAACTTCAGCATCCTGCTTAGTCCTCATTTTGGGTTTAGTTTGGGCTTGAGCGACAGTGAGCAGCTTCCAGATGGTCGTCTTACATGCACGATAAGGGAGCACATTTCCTAGTGAGAAATTCACGTAAGGGACAGTATCAAGTACTGGAGGGGCTGAAATAATGGTTCAGCAGCCAGTATAGTCCAGTGGACAGTGAGGAGCTCTTACTTGATAGATCTCTGTACTGTTTGGTCTCAGTTCCCTTGTTTGTTACCATGAACAGAATTACTCACAAATACCTTAATTTTCTGTCTCTAGAATTGATATATAAATGGTAGGAAATGAAAAATGTTTGGTCACTGACAAGGAATCCTTCAGCTGACTCTTCTGGCTGACACTCTTTGCTTCTCTACATTGCAAGTGCACTTCAGAATGAAGGCCTTAAAGTTATGAGCACAGTTCTGTCCAGTCTTTTACCTCGGCTAATTGTAAATGCTTTTTGGGTCTAGTGCTTCAGCCTGTGTAATTCTTCCTCCTCAGGTCTCTGCCCAGACTGGGAAGCCTGGGACCCTAAGAAGCCCGTTGATAATGCTCGTGAAGCTATGCAACAAGCAGATGATTGGCTGGGTGTCCCCCAGGTAAGGGAATGAGAATGAGACTTTGGCTCCTGAGTATCCCAACGGCGGGATATAAACCGGTCGCTACCCTTCGAAGACAGATGAGCACTTCTTCCCTAGCTATTCAGCAATGCTTTGGAATATTCTGTGCCATGGTGCAGAATGTCACCTACTGCAAAATAACGTACAGTTCAGATTATCTGCTTCCTTGCACAAGTGCAAACTGAGTGAGATGCCTACCCTCTGAAAAACTCTTTTATTGAAAAGAAGGATTTTATTCTTGCACACATTCATGGATACAAGTTTCCGTTTTAGATTCTCCTTCCAAAGGGTGTGCTGGATCCCATCCCTATCTTGCTGATTAATACTGTCAGTTAGCCCTGTTCGAGCATTGATGGGAAAGCAAGAGGACTGAAGGGCACCTGGGATGGGGCTGTTCCCAGCATCTCTGCTTATTCCAGCATCACCTCACTCCATTCAGATCTTGCCATGTTGAACTGGTAGGACCTGAAAGGGAATTCTTGTTATATTTGCTGGATCCCCAGTGTACCCGGAACTCTTGGTAGAATTGGGATCCTGGCTTAGGCAGAGTTTGCTTCAACGTGGAAAGGTCTGAACTGTGAAGCAACAGGACAGGGCTGGTACACCCTGGAGATGTGGGAAGCAAGGCCCTATTTCAGAACACTACAAGCCGTCTTGCATTCTCTTGAAAGCCTGAACAGGACTTCCTTTGAGTGGAAGAACACACATTTATTATATCTAACATTAATTGGTTCTATTGCATTGGTATCATAATTCTTACTCTGATTATCTTCCTAGCTGTCTTTGACCGGTTTTCCATGATTATGCCAACATACATTTGAGTTCATCCTGCTAAAATAATTTGACAGTCTAAATATGTTTGTATGCAATCTTGCTCTTGCTTGCATGTGCATCCTCCATCTAATCCAACTTCCTCAAGCACTGGACTGCTGGGTATGGTTGTCTGCTGACTGACAATGTTGGATTCCTTGTTAATGAGCTTTAAGATACGCGCATGAGTAGAACACTGTGTGCTCTTTCAAAAGACTCCCTGCTTTCACCTCCTCTTCCTCCTTCAATTGATGTACTACTTAGCGTGTTTTAATAATATCTTTAAGCACTTTATAAGGAAATTAAAATGCATTAATATGACAATATAGATTCAAATACAATTAAATTCATAATTATTGAAACATTCATAAAACTGATACAGACATTAATATCAATACTCGTAGTAGCATAATTAACAAGCAGACTGTGCAGCACATTCACTCACAAAAGGCCTGGGTAAAGGGATGGGTTTTTAATTGTCTCCTGAAGCATGCTACAGTTGGTGCTGCTCATATAACTGGGGAGGGTCATAAGGTGGATGCCACCACAGAGAAGGCCCTGTTCTGGGTTGCTGCAGATGGCAATCTGCAGATTCTGGTGCAACCAGCAAGGTTTCCTATGATCTTAATGATCATAACAGTTACTTAAACATACTCCTCTACTTTTGGAAGTGTTTGAAAACACATTGATCTGGCTACTTAGAAATGTATGATATAAACTCTAATTCTGATTAAATCTGTCCTCACTTGCTTATCAGGTCATCACTCCTGAAGAAATAATACATCCGGATGTTGATGAACACTCTGTAATGACCTACCTGTCACAGTTCCCCAAAGCAAAGCTGAAGCCAGGTGCTCCATTGAAACCGAAACTTAATCCGAAGAAGGCAAGAGCTTACGGTAAAGGTAAGATCTAAAGGGCTTTTCTTGCCATTTAGCAGTTCATTATATTCACAGCAGTTTTATTTGAAAAAACAAATTGAACCTTGCATTATTTAAATTCTGTTTGTAGACAAACTTCCAAGTTCCATTGTGTTGCGATTCAGAGATATGGAACTTATCCAAAAGCCACTCCTGCTTTCACATGAATTGCCAGACCTCTGAGAACCAGTTCAGCAAGGCGGCTGCCTTGTATGTGTGATGGCTCCTTGCCTCAAGTCTCATCGTTCATGCTCATATCTTTTAAAAATGGTATAAAAGAGCATCAGCATTTTCATCCTGTTTAAATTATTTACTTGACTTACTGCTGGACATTCTCGGAGAAAACAGATTTGGTGCTAAAAACATTAGGGGAATATGAATATGAAAGTGATTTCCTCTTGTGATAGCAGCTGCTGCATGTTAATGACATATATTGATTGTTTCATTGCCAGAAAAGCCTAGAAATGCAGGGGAAACTTGAAGGAATGAATGGAAACTTAGAGGTGGTTCAGCTGTGGCCTTGCCTTAAGGAATGTTTCCAGCTCTGTCATTCATGGAAAGCTTGTATGTTTCCCCCCACTTTTTTTTTTTTTAAGTAGTCCTTGAAGTGGTATCTGAAATGCCTTTATTGGCAAACAATTGGCCGGATAGCTATGGCTAGTCCTATAGCATATCTAACTCTAGGAGACAGCACCTTTGCTGTTTCAGTGTTCTGCTTATGAGTTTTGCTGTAGCAATCTGTATACTTTACTCTCAGGACTGTTGAGAGTTGACAAAACCAGGGAAACGGCCATGAGTCTTGTTGGAGGAAAAGAAGCAGCATTCTTGAGGAGAACAGGGTGGTCCCAAGACAATGAAAACATGCTTGTACTACCTTCAGAAAAGCAGTTTCCAGAATCCAGAGGAATGCATTTCATAAGAACCTCCAGTTATCATAACACTTTAATAATTATTAGCAATACTAGAAACCATAGCCTTGACTTTAGATCAGCTAAGCAGGGATGTCATGGATAGGATGTTTTGGAAGGGTTTTCATCCACAGGGTCACCATAAGTCAGGGATGACTTGATGGCACGTAGTAATAACAGCATTGTGCTTCCACTGTATAAAAGCAACTGGGATAATTTAATCTAGCACACTTGAAGCCACTGCATTATGGTCTAAGAGCAGAAGCAGTATGCTGTGTGAGCTGCAGGAGGAGAGGGGAAGACATCATATTGGCAGCTTTTGATGAAACTGAGCCTTGTTGGTTGGAAGGAAAATGCATCATCAGCTAAAATGCGTGTGAGGCATATTGAATGAAAAGAGAACCTACCTAGTTATTGGTACTGATAATCTGGTGCTGGGTTCAGCCAGACTCTTGCCATCTCCTTTATGCCCTGGTAATACTTCTGAGAGCAAGGGTAGTTGAGGTGTAATGCTGGCAGCTGGACATGCTGTCCTCCCCTCAGAAGATTAATAAGTGAATATTTTCTCATGCCATGCTTTTATGTGTTTGCAGGAATTGAAGCACATGGAAATATGGTGAAGCAGCCTGCCAAATTCACTGTAGACACGATCAGTGCTGGCCAGGGTGAAGTAATGGTGTTCGTAGAAGATCCAGAAGGAAACAGGGAAGAGGTGTGCATGTTGGGGTCTTGGGAGAGACAAGGCATTAGCTGGCCATCCGTGTTCCTTTATATTGGCAAAGTAATCCTCGTATGATGAGTGCTTCCATTTGAGTTATTACAAGCTTGGGCTGTAGTGCAGTGGCAGTAGACCTGTAAAGAAGTCCTGTGTTCACGCCTTGGCATCTTCAGTTGAGAATGGGGCAAGTGGATGGTGGAGTGATCACTGCCTGAGCTCCTGCAGTATGTAACCACCCATAAGACATCTTTGTCTGCTTCCATTGGGTTTGCAGTCCCCGAAGCTTGAGATTCCTAATAGTAAGCCTTTGAATATTAGTTGTTGGGGAACTTGAATGGGAGCATCTGACTACTTTTTTTGTATCTTGTGAGCTTCTTGTAAGCACCTGGTTGGCCATTGTGGGAACAAAATACTGGACTAGATGGGCCTTTGATCTGGTACAGCAGAGCTGTTCGTGACCCAGGCTTGTGGAGTGGAGAATTAAGCAGGGGAATTGACCATAGTCTAAACCTCTTGGGATATTTTAATAGCATGCTTTAGTAGCATGTCCTCCTTGTACTGCTCTAGGGATGTGAGAAGCAGCAGGTCTTCTGGGAGAGCTTATAGCATGGTCTTTCCCACAACAGTGTGTCACTTTTCAGAAGGGATGTTTGTGTAGGAGTGTCCTTGCCAGCTGTTCCCGTAGCACTCTGGATGTTTCCAAGACAAATGGCTGCTCTTTCTGCATTGCTACAAGAACATAAGGGGTTCCCTAAAGGGGAAGTAGAGTCATGGGAGATCAGCTTTACTGTAAGCCACTAGTTCCCGGATATCTTCTGCAATGCTGCCCAAGTGGAGAACAAGACCTTACCTACGAGTGAATTATTTCAACTAATAGTTGGCCTGAAAGAGGTGAAGTTAGGCAACAATATTCTGTTGTGAAGGAGCATATTTCAAACTTAACCTTTTAAAATAGGGGCCCAAAACCTCTGTTGAACCTCAGGCTTAGTAACTGGCAGGGAGAGCTTTAAGTTAATGGTAGTTTTGGCTGATCTTTCCCCCTTCTGCCTCATTCACAACTGGAATGTTCCTCCCAAGAGCTCTTTCAAAATAGAATTTGGTTCTCAGTCTGAATGAGGTTGCATGCCCCTTATTTAGAGTCTGACTCGGACTGGAGAAGGTAGTGTTGGAGATGCTTACTAGAAAGATTGGTAAATCATTGTCCTCTTTCTTAGGCCAAGGTGACCCCTGACAATGACAAGAACAAGACCTATGCTGTTCAGTATGTGCCAAAGGTTGCAGGACCTCACAAGGTAAGATGACCTGAAAATTCTGGGCACATGTGCTCAACTGACGAGCACACCAGAGCAATGTCATAACAGGCCCTCGGACTCAGTCGTCCAGTACAGTAGCTCAGTAGGGTGTGGAAACCCCCAGCCTTATATAATAGGATGAATGTGCCCACTCAGAATATTGGCTTCTATCTTCTAGTTGCTCAGATAAAAATTTATTTGTAGGCAAAAGAAGGTTGCTTAGCAGCAAAAATTCTTAAGTTTTTATGTGTGTGTGTACATGCACACTTGTGCACGTGTGTACACACACACACACACACACACACACACCCTCTTTGCATACTCTTCCGATTTGTCCTTTGGTGAAAATTTCTATTTACTTGATAGTGAGTTTCTCAATGAATTTGGTCCAAATAAAATGTGCAAAATTCAGATCTGTTTAGGCTATCTCCCTTGGTCCAAGGTGATTTAACCCACTAAATGACTTGACATTGCATTTGCATTAACTACAAGAAAGCCTTTCATTCTGTGACATTCCCTCACAGCAGTTGTCTATAGAAGGGAGTGTGTCCCTCCAGATACTGGTTGGGCTACAGCTTCCATCAGATTTCGCATAATCAGCAGGCATGGTGCATTAATAACTGCAGAGATGCTGAGGAAATTACTGTGGCCAATGGGTTTTCTGGTCTCTTGTCCCAGTTATAGAATTATAATTATAGAATTCACCCATCATCTCCAGCAGTCTATAAGATCTTGAAAGGCACAGCTACTGGCTATTAGCCAGAGTTCATCTCTCTCTGAGGCAGGGCTGGGTGTGTGTGTGTCCCTCTCCAGCTGTTGCACTGCAACTCCAGACAGCCCTATTTAGCCTAGCCAATGGCATGGGTTGAGAGTGGTTGCAATCCAGCTTTACCTGAAAGGCCACCTGTTTCCCATTCTGCTTTGTAGGGTTGACTGGAAGGAGTTAGTACATCTGTAGTAACAGAAACAACCTATAAAAAACAATGTACACATGGTTCTTTAAACCAGACACCTCAGAGGCTAATCTGTTCCATAGTTTGGTGTCCACAATTCAATTGCAGGACTCTGAAGGATGGCCTCTCCTGTTGTGCAGTTGCAGCTGGAGCTAAAGGCTTTGTGGCTGCATGCAGTTGTGAGCTTTTGCAATTCCCACTAAGATGCATTAGTGGTGAATTCTGGTTGTGAAGGCAAGAAATGTACTTGCCTTCACTCCTCTTAGCAGGCTTTCTGAAATGTATGTAATTCATCCGGATGTGCTTATTGGTGTACAGCGCTCCATATCGTGTTTATGGATGCCTGTCTGCAGTTGTTTTGTTTAATTAGCAGTTAAACGTTGCCTTGTGGATGCATAGTTCCTCTAGTTCTGCAAAGTTGATATCAGTATGTCATCTTGTATATCTAACTCGAACACTGTTCCTACACTTCTAGGTTACAGTTCTGTTTGCTGGCCAGCACATTTCAAAGAGTCCGTTTGAAGTAAATGTTGACAAAGCCCAAGGTGATGCCAGCAAAGTAACAGCAAAAGGGCCTGGCTTAGAAGTGACAGGAAATATAGCAAACAAGCCTACTTATTTTGAAATTTACACAGCAGGTAAGACAGGCCAGACCACTCTGGGGTAGATTTCTCATGGTGTAGTAGAGCTAATTTCACCATTGTACAAACAAAATGCATTTCCACAGATGTGTTCTGGATATGGCTTAAATAGGACTTACCTACTGGGGGTAGAAAGAATGCATGACAATCTGTTTGTGAAGTAGAGTGAATCTAATGCTCTCTGAATGGACTTCTGCTTGCACAACAAGGCTTTCTCCTCCTCTTCTCCTTGTATTCTCCCAAAATCTACTCTGGAGAGAATGGGGTACCAGATAGGCTGCAAGGGGAAGGAGGAATTACCGCAGCTGTTTTCTGCTGAGGTAAGCCATTCCATCAGTGGGATGAATGAACTGGTTACTCAGGGTGTGTTAAATACTTTAGTGTTCCATTTGTCACTCATTACCACATTACTATTTGGTAGCACCTTTGTTTGTGAGGGGCCGTGAGGGGTTCTTGCTGTCTCTACAAATACATGTGCTTTAAATCTTTCCTAGCATGTTCCTTGTAAGCCAGTGGCTCTCAAACTGTGTCCTGGTTCTGACGACAGGCACAACCACAATATGTGTGGTAGCCCTTTAATGGTTTACATTGTGTAGAGAACCTGATACCTTCCAGATATTCTGGAGTTCAGCTTCAGTATGAAGCTGGGCAACAGTTAGGGTTGGATGGGAATTTTCATCCAAAACATATGGAGGACACTGGATTGGAGATGGCTGATGTTCAAACTTTCTATCATTCTATAGAATTCCTTCTTTGACTAATAGGCAGAAAGGAGTATGAATGTGAATTGTGGGGAGAGAGCACGAGTGAGCGAGAGCACATAAAATGGTGGTTTGGGTATGCATGCTCCCAAATCAATATTTATGCAAGCTGCTCCTGCTGTAGACATCAATTACTATGCCTCTTCCTGTGCACTCCCACTTCCATGTTGATGCCTATATTAAAACGTTCATGGTGGCCAAATGTGAAGAACCATGATCAAGGCAAAATAATCTCTCACTCTCTTTCTTTTTGGGTAAAACTTTGGTTCCAAGGTTCTGCTGCCTAAAAGGCTATGGGAAAGATGGCCTGTGGTATGCAGAACAATCTTGGAAGCAGGTCTTCCCCAGCTGATTTGGATCAAGCAGTAGGCACCATGTTACTGTACCTATGTCTGGATACATGTGCACCTTTTTTACAGCAGTTGAACTGTGTGTGGAAACTTAACTTGCCAGCATGTTTTGGTTTGCTAATTATAACAAAGAATTTCCTAACAAAGGATGCTAGGTTTTCAACCATGTTGCAAAACTGAAATTGCTTAAACTCTGTGGCAGAGAAGCTAGTAAATTTCAAGTTTAGATGAATCTAGGAATTCAGCCTGGAGCCTTGCAAAAATATAAGGGAATCTTGGCTTTTGTGCTCCAAATGTAAGGTGTATATGGCACATTTTAAATCTCTGTTCATCAAATACACTGACTCTGGATTCCTGCTTTCTTGTATTCAGTGGGTTAAACCATATAGTCCGCAGTTCACAATTTCTCATTTCTGTGTGTGAGAGGAAACGAAGTTGGACATTCATAACAAAAACAAGTAAACCTATGAGCTGAATTGCATGTTGGACTAACATTGGGGAAACCCTAATGTTTTAGCTTAATTTTGCTATCTTACAGGGGCTGGAGTTGGTGATATAGGTGTTGATGTTGAAGATCCTCAAGGAAACAACACTATTGAAGTTACAGTAGAAGACAAGGGGAATCAAGTTTACCGTTGTGTGTATAAGCCTCTTCAAGCTGGTCCTCACACTGTTAGAGTGACATTTGCTGGAGAGCATGTTCCAAAAAGCCCTTGGAGTGTCCTTATTGGTGAAGGTATGTCTTAAGTGCAGGCATGTAGTTGCCAGCCACTTTCATTTAAGTAAGTTTCTGTTCACTTTTAAAAATGTGAATTAGTCTTCTGAAGTAAAGTATTCTATTATATTTATTGGTAGTCCTTAAAAGACTTCTAAGGCTGCAGTTTTATACCCTTTTACTTTGAGAGTAAGTTTAATTGAATTCAATGCAAATTACTTCTTAGTAGATATGTGTCGGGTTGCTCTGCATGTGTTAGTATCTTCTCACATACCTACTGCTTAGTCTGCCATCCTAAAGGGCCACATTACTCCTTTGACACTTCTAGAATTGAACTCTTCCTTGCTCTATCTCTCAAACCTACTATATTCACTTTATTTTGTATCATAACTCTTTTTCCCCCTTCTGAACTGACACTTGGCTCTCTGTTCCATCCTTGCCTGCCCCTGTGCTTTCAGGCCTCTGCTCACCTTTCCTGAGCTACTCTCAAATTGTGGGATGTTGGACCTCACTGCTATTGGCTTCATAGTTGGGCAAGCTCTGTCGGTAAGAGGGCGTGCAGGTTGATCTTGTGTTTGGTTTGCTGGGGGTTGGTTTGTTCCTGAACACCTTGCCTGTAGCCTGAAACAAAAGCTTCTGAATAGTACAAAAATGTTGCAAGCAACTTGCTACAGGATTTCTGTAAGCAGTCTTGCAAAAAGTCAAATTACTTCATTATGAACTGTCAAAATTGGTTGGTTGCAAGAGGCTGGACTCTGAACTTCATCTTGCTTTTGTACCCCTGTTTTGTTTGTGTGAGTAGATGAGCCAACAAGCTTATAGTACAATTAATAAATGCAGTCTGGCTGGGGGAAGAGACTTACCTACATGCTTGTAGCTGGATGGTTGTCTTGGGGCAAATCATTCCCTCCAAGGAAAATGTGCCAACTCCAGGAAGACATGATTGGAGTTGAGCTGTTGGAGCATGTAATTACACCTGAGAGGCCTTGAGGTGTATGCACACTGCTGTACAGGATTGTGGTTAGACAAATATTGATAATCAGGCTCATAGCTTAAGTTCTTTAGAGCAGCCTCCTATCTTTCATTAAGCTTCACTGTGTGTGTGTGCGTGTGCGTGCACGCTCGATCTTTTTCACACTGCATCTGATGGTATTTGTTCCTTCTCCTGCATACAGACATGCTTTCCTGATTGGAAAGATGTTCAGCAGAGCATGTGTAAACTAGTTTTTTTGTGGGTAAACTGTGTACTTGGAGCGCAATTGTGAACTTGCATGCAAGTTTATTTTCCACTTCATGGTATTGCTTTTTCATGTGCATCTACATAGCACTTCCTTTGAGGACCCTATTTTGCTGATCTAGCATGCCTGGTCCCCCACATTCCCATAAGAACCACCATGAATCTGAAACCTGCTGTGGTTACCTGCTGTTCCATATGGTATAGAAATAATAGCAGGCTCAGCACAGCAGCCATGTCCCAACCATCCAAGGAGTGATGAGACTCCCTTGTGCTGTGCATTTCTTTCCTCCTCCTTCCCCAGTGCCTAGGACTTAATCTGTAAGCCTGGCTTAAGCTAGAGGGCTTCATTTGCATGGCTTCAGCAGAAATGTAAACACATTCTAAGTTTGGATCCTTGGAAATTAGGATACATTGCTAACTTTTTCTCTAGTCAAATTGAAACTCCTTCATAAACTGAAGAAACTGATCTCAGATGTTTAAAAATGTGTTGAGCTTTAGTCTGTTTAAAAGGGATTTGTGTGTGTACACAGTAAAGACTGTTGATGAAAAATTGCAATCCTCCGTTTTCTGTTAATATGATGGGCCTTGTCAGCCTCAGTCTTTCTTAAGACTACAGAATGGCATTCAGGTTTTGCATTTCATAAAGTAAATCTCATCCATCTTAAAGCAAGCTGAGAGAAGCTGTTCCAGACTGGCTTGGTTAGGTTAAATATCTCTAGGAATCAAAGACTGCATTGATGTCTGTCTGCAATTTGCTTGTAGCCTGCAATCCAAGTGCCTGCCGTGCCAGCGGTAGGGGCCTCCAACCTAAAGGAGTTCGGATCAGAGAAACCGCAGACTTCAAGGTTGATACTAAAGCCGCAGGGAGTGGAGATATGCATGTGGCAATAAAAGGGCCAAGTAAGTGTGTAACTTCTTTGCCTTGCTTGGGCTTTGGGGTGGGGCCGGAGGAGTTTGCCGAAGGCTTAAAATATATCAGCCCGTGACTCTGCTATCTGCATGTTGACTTTGCCCCCTGAGGGAGGCTCCAGAAGTGAAACAGATTCTTGTTCTCACTGACATATCTGTTTCATTGCATGAGAAAAAATTTTAAGACATGGATAGGAGTATGAAATGATCAACTCTTAGGTGTAACTGCACCTTGGTTTACTTGTTTGCACAGAAGAAACTTCAGCTAGCTGTGTCACTCCTTTAGTGCGCTTGGAAAGCTTAGGCAGAACATCCACGTTTAGCAAGGAAGCATGTATTTAATAAGGTTCTTGGCCTGAAGTGGGGTGTGTATTTGTGTGAGAAACCCTGTGTTTGGTGATAACACTGTGTGACAGCAAAAAAAGATCTTGGACTGTGCGGAAATGGACAGATTGATTTTGTCTCTGAAGGAGAAAGAAGATAAGACTTCTATCAAACCTGGGACTTTTCATTATTGGCTAGAGAAACGGGACTATGCATAGATTTAAGTATTTTTATAGTTTAACATAAAAAGAAACAAATATGGGGGGCTGACCCAGTAGGTCTGAAGTTTTTGATGATTGATGACTTTTTAGTTCCTTTTTTGTTAGGTTTATTAAGAATAAAACTTATTCAAAAGAACACTGTGACAGCATTGGTCAAGGAACATAAAGCTGAGAAATTCAGTGGGGAAGGAACCTTGGGACAGGTTGCTTGACTATTTATTTATTTAACAAGTTTTATATACTGTTCACTGCCCATCAACTTTCTGAATGGTTTACAACAGACAGGATGGTGGCAGATCCACTCAGTTGTAGTATATAAAGAAGAAAGGGTTTGGTGGATCAGGCTAATAGCAAAAAAGGCTTGCAGCTGAGGTGAACTGATTTCCCATGGATAATGGGCAGGGCCTTTCGGTGTACAGAAATAGTGACACCATATTTTAGGTTTCTTTATGCTGATTTATCACTAGGAGGGTGAACTTATTTCTGGTTTCTATTTTTGCTGAACCTAACAGCAGAGCAGAAATATAACCCAAATGTAAAATTCCCCATGTGGTAGACAGTTAATGTGCTGCAAAGCAGCTCTTGTGTGGCCACAGTGATTTCTTTTGAAGGACAGTCTTTGTGGTGTAACTTCACTACCTTAAAGGCTTCTTACCAATATGAAAATTGGAAGGTGATGCAGGAATTTGCATTAAATGTTTTAACAATCTCTTCAGCAGCCTAGAAGACATATTCTTGAGGTAAAGGTCAAATGATTTCCCCTTAGTACACATCAAAAGGGACATTTTCAAGCTTCCTAAACAGTCGTTTTTCTCCCTGCCTCTGACCTTATAAAAGAGATAATATACAGAATACTGCATCTTACACATTCCTGGACAATCAGTAAATTTTGTAGAGCTGGGAAAAGGGCACCTGAAATAATTAAGAGGCTAGAGTAATTATTTCTGAAGAAAGGGAACTGTTTAGCTTTAAAAAGAGAGAATTGAAACATGATAGAGGTATGCAAAATTATGTATGGTATGAGGAAACTGAGTAGGGAGACACTTTCTCCCTTTCTCATAATACTAGAAAGCAGGGTCAGCCCCTGAAGCAGATTTGTGGGAGATCTAGGAGAGGTAAAAGGAAGTAGTGCACACTGCACAATGGAATTCCACAGGATGTAGCAATGGCCACCAGTCTGGACGGTTTTAAAGTAGGACTGGGCAAATTCCTGGAGGATAAAGCTATCAGTGGCTACTTGTCTTGAAACATAAAAACATAGAAACAGCGCGAGTCAGAAGGGGTCTCCCGGGCTATCTAGTCTGACCCCTGGCTCCGCTCATGACATGCCCACCATGTCTTGAAGGCTATATGCTACCTCCAGTATTGGAGGCAGTGCGCCTGTGCTGGCGAACTCGGGCGGGAAGGTGCTGTTGCACTCATCCTGCTGGTGAGTCCCCTTTGGGTAGCAGGTTAGTCATTGTGTGATCGGAATGCTGGACTCAGTGGACCCCTGGCCACATTCAGTATGGCTCTTCTTATGCTCTAAAAGTCATAAAAAATGGGAGCTGAGGGCTTGCCGGAGGCCTTGTCTGCTGACGACAACCCATTCTCCCCAACCACTGCTCATTTAGTGGCTTACCAGATTTGTGCCATTTCCCCCCTATTCCAGAAAGTTGAGAGTCCCCTCCTAAGGCTTAGTAATGGGTAATAAGAATTTTAACCTGTAATATGCTTGCATTTTTGCCCCACCTTGTTTCCTTTGTCTCTGCTGCCATTGGGGTGTAGCCCCCAAGAATCAAATGTGGTTCTGGGCTGTAAAGACAGTCTGCATCCACTTCTTATGGAACAGTAGGGATCGCGGTGTGGCTGGGGGAGTCGCAAAATGTCTTGTCAAATGATGTTTACAAGATGGAGCTTGCACATTGGCTGGGAATTGTTGCCAACTGTGTGCCCTGTTAGACAATAGACTTGTGTCAACACACTTCAGCATATTTAGACTATCTCAAGAAAGCCAGATCAAGTAGGCATTCTCCAAATACTTGTGGCCATGAGGTCTGAGAAAGCTTAAGCTTTCCTTGTTTTAATATATGGTGTGTGTAATACTGCAGACTGAGGAATAACACGGGAGACTGAATTAAACATAGTAATGTAACACTTTCACTCATCTTTTTCTCCTGGAAATGTTTATACCATCTTTCTTACATAAGTAGAGGTGGTTTCTCCTCCTATTTCTGGTTAAGATCGAAATGACTTCATTCTTGGCAATTGATCTTAAAACACTAGAAGGCATAGAAACTACTTAACCTTTATTAATTTCTAAATTTTCTAGTTTTAATAGTTGGTTGATGGTATTTCTACAGAGGGCTTGGACGAACTTGTGAAACAAAAGGAATTTGTGGATGGTGTGCATTCATTTGAATACTACCCCGTTACCCCAGGAAAATACATTGTCACAATCTTGTGGGGAGGCCACAACATCCCCAAGAGGTGAGTTCAGATAATTTTTAGCAATGAGTATGTATTTCCAATTTCCAATGAAATGTTTTGGGCAGGACAAGTTACTTAGAACAAAATTAGTTGTTGGTCATACACTGGTATACAAAGGATACTATTCCTTATGAACAATCCTGTATCAAAGAAACTGCATGTATTATGCAGAGCAGCCTTTCCCTCTGCAAGGGTGCGGACCCGATTGTATTGGTCTGCCCCTGGAGCTGGATGGACCCTGATGGATTCCTGGAAGCTCTGGGGGATTTTCTGGTTGACAAGGCTGGAGATCCTGTCGATGCCCTGGTTGAACTGTGGAATGAGGAGATGACCAGGGCTTATTGACATGATCACTCCCAAGCGTCCTCTCCCACCTGGCAGAGCCCGTTCATCTCCTTGGTATACGCCTGAATTACGGGCGATGAAGCAGGTTGGGAGATGTCTAGAGTGTAGGTGGAGGAGATCACGGGGTGATTCTGACCAAACATACTTAAGAGCCCATTATTGGGCCTATGCTGTGGCGGTGAGGATGGCGAAGAAGAAATTCTTCTCAGTTTCCATTGCCTCCTCACAATGCCGTCCGGCGGAGCTTTTTTGGGTGGTGCAGGGGCTGATACATCCGGGCCCGAAGAAAGATCTTGTGCCACCCTTGAAGGGCCGCTGTGACGACTTTGCCAAGCATTTCAGGGAGAAAATTGCTCAGATTTGCCATGAGCTTGACTCTGCTGTTGAACCAGATTCTACTGGGGAGACGCCATCGACGCCGTCAAGTTCACAATTAATGGATGAATTTCAGTTGTTGCAGTTGCGGACAAGGTGCTTGGACAAGTACGTCCTACCACTTGCTTACTAGACCCATGCCCATCTTGGCTACTTAAGAAAGCCAAGGACGGGATTGGGACCTGGATCCTGGAGGTGGTCAACACTTCTTAAGAGACAGCCAGGTACCTGCCCCTTTAAAGGAGGCGGTAGTCCGGCCAGTCCTAAAGAAGGCATCCCTGGATCCAGAGGTGGCTGCCAGTTGTAGACCGGTGGCCAACATCCCATTTCTGGGCAAGGTGCTAGAGCGGGTGGTGGCGGGACAACTCCAAGCACTCTTGGACGAAACTGATTATCTGGACCCATTTCAGTCCGGCTTCAGACCTGGGTATGGCACTGAATCTGCCTTGGTCGCCCTGTATGATGACCTGTGCAGGGAGAGAGACAGGGGGAGTGCATCCCTGTTAGTTCTCCTGGACCTCTCAGCGGCTTTCGATACCATCGACCATGGTATCCTTCTGGATAGGCTAGCGGGATTGGGAGTTGGAGGCACCACGTGGCGGTGGTTCCGCTCCTATCTCAACGGCCGATTTCAGAAGGTGGTGCTGGGGGACTATGGCTTTGCGCCATGGCAGTTATGCCAGGGAATTCCGCAGGGGTCCATTTTGTCCCCTTTGCTATTTAACATCTACATGAAACCGCTGGGAGAGGTCATCAGGAGGTGTGGGCTGCGGAATCATCAGTACGCTGATGATACCCAGCTCTACCTCTCATTTTCCACCAATCCAGGTGAGGCAGTGGCTGTACTGAACCGGTGCCTGGCCGAGGTAATGGGCTGGATGAGGGCCAATAAACTGAAGCTCAATCCAGACAAGACAGAGGTCCTGTTGGTGGATGGCTCGGGCCTCGGGATGGGGGACTTGGGCCTTGTCCTAAATGGGGTTGCACTCCCTCTGAGGGACAGGGTTCGCAGCTTGGGAGTGCTCCTCGACCCTGAGCTGTCTCTAGAAGCTCAGGTGATGGCGGTGGTGAGAAGTGCCTTCCTTCAGCTTCGGCTGATACATCAGCTGCGTTCCCTCCTGGAGAACGACTGCCTGGCGACAGTGACACACACGCTGGTAACTTCCCGATTAGATTTCTGTAACATGCTGTACGTGGGGCTACCCTTGAAGACGGTCCAGATACTTGAGTTGGTGCAGAATAGAGCTGCCAGGTTGCTGACGGGGACTGGGTGTTGTTCTCATATAACCCCAGTTCTCCGTCAGCTCCACTGGCTCCCGATTGAAGTCCGGGCCCAATTCAAGGTGTTGGTGATGACCTATAAAGCCCTAAACGGCTTGGGGCCTGGTTACCTGAAGGAGCGCTTACATCCATATATGCCTGCCCACCCCTTGAGATCAGCAACGGATGTCCTTCTCCGGGAACCCTCTGTGAATGATATTAGGAGGGTGAGTACCCGGAGGAGGGCTTTCTCTGCGGTGGCGCCCCATCTATGGAATGTGCTCCCCAGAGAGGTCCACCTGGCGCTGTCATAATTTGTTTTTTGGCGCCAGGCTAAGACCTTTGTATTTAAAACTTATTTTAATTGCTAAATTATTGTATTTATTAGGATTTTAAATTAGCCGAGAATGCACCGGGGGTTTTAAATGTGTGTTTTTTTTCTTTTAAATTGTTATATTGTTATTTATGTTTTTTTTTGTATTTTTTGTGAGCCGCCCCAAGGCTTTGTTGCGATGGGGGCAGCATAGAAATGTTTTAAATGAATAAATCTTTAAACCAGGCATCGGATTGCCACTTGGCAGGGGCAGGGTTAAAAATCCTACTATAAATTTTGTGTGTGCACAGCGGGCAGATTTCTAATTTCTGCATCCCTCTAACATTCACCAGTCTCCATCTCTCTCTGCCTCCAAATGATAAACTTGTAGGGAGGCATGGAAGCTCAGGTCTCATGTACGTAAACACCATCTGCCCAGTTTTATTTTCCTTCGGCTTTTAGTCTGGACAAAGACAATCTCTGAGAAGTTCTCTTCAATGGATTCTGCTAATGCTGGGATGGGCACAGTTGGCCATGTAGTGGGGGATAGTGGGACACACTCTAGTTTCTATTTCCCATTTTTTCCTCAGTCACTGTTAGATCTTATTCTTCCCCTTCATTTCTAGATCCGATTCTGGTGGCAGGAAGAGGTTTTGTGCCCCACATCTAATGAGGAGCTGCTTATGGGAAGGAGGGGTGTGGAAGAGGAAAATGCAGTATCTTGTTAGATAGCGCTCTGTAGCCTGGCATTTGTCCCTTAATTTTTCCTAATCCTGCTGTCTGATCTTTCCTTCATAGCCCATTCGAAGTTCAGGTTGGCCCTGAAGCTGGACCTCAGAAAGTAAGGGCCTGGGGACCAGGTCTCCATGAAGGAGTTGTTGGCAAGTCTGCTGACTTTGTGGTAGAATCCATTGGACCAGAGGTTGGATCCTTAGGTAAGGACTTGGCTAACTGTCCTGCTGACTTCCAAGCAGACTTCACTTTATATTTGTCACCTAACTATTTTCACAGGTAGAGATGGAAGCAGGTTTACAGACTCAGCTACATGTGGATTCCATGCCTCTACAATCTCCAGTTGTATTGGCTTGTGTAACACTTCTGCCAGTAACAGTGATCACTGTATCTTTCTTCTGTTTGAATAAGCCTAGGAACAAATAATGACTAACCCTTTCTTTCTTCAGGCATGTATGGTTGTATTTTCTGCTAACTTCATTATTGGTCTTGCCTCAGGCTGTAATCCTGTCACCTGGGAATCCTCCAGAGGTTTTGTAGCAGGAAATAAGCAGCCAAGTATCATCCATGTTAGACCATTTGTCATACTGCAGGGGTTTCTGGGAGTTGTAGTCCAAAACCTCGGGACGGCTTCAAGGTGTTCTGGCCTTACTGTATAGTAAGAGGAAAGACTTCCTGACCAAAATGATGTGAACTGCACTTCTGGAAGCCAGCTGCAGTAGTTGCAGTGGCTCTTCAAGAGAACTGCTCCACACTGAGTTCACACAGAGATTAGTTCAAAACTCCTGCTAATAGGGATATTGCTATAAATGGAATATCTGGCTTTGACTTAGACCATGCGGCTTGCCTGTGTCCTTTGAATCCTACCTGCTGACACATGACCTCTCTGATAGCTCCTCTGATGTTCTTTCTTGCTTCCTTTAGGTTTTGCCATTGAAGGCCCATCTCAAGCAAAAATTGAATGTGACGATCAGAACGATGGTTCATGTGATGTGAAATACTGGCCCACGGAGCCTGGTGAATATGCTGTTCATATCATGTGTGATGATGAAGACATCAAAGACAGCCCCTATATGGCATTCATCCAGCCTGCTTCTCCAGACTTCAACTCTGACAAGGCAAGAATCTGTGGAGCTGCTCTTAAGAGGCGATACCATATAAATTGTTTAAAAAATCAATTACGATCTAGAGAATGTGCTAGGATACAGTCAAGGTCAGGCCCCAATTAAAGGAAAGTTAAAGCAATATTAAAGCGAAGTTGATGCAGTGGCGTAGCAATAACAAATAAAGGCTTGTCCCAGTTTTGCATGGGAAGTTCAGTCCTGGAGATTTATACTTGTTTTGTATTAGAAGATATTTCTTAGGACATCAAGTTAAAGAACCTTATTTTTTTTAGCCTTGGCATGTAAGCTGTACCTAATCAAAGAAGCATTTTGATCAGGTCCTGAGAATAAGTATTGGACACGCTACTTCAAGCAATACATACATCTGTAAAGATATTTTATCATGTTCTCTACTTGTCTGCTTATCTTTCCTAGGTGAAAGCCTATGGTTCAGGGCTGGAGAAAAGTGGCTGCATTGTGAATGTTCCTGCAGAATTTACAGTTGACACAAAGAATGCAGGGAATGCTCCTCTGAAGATATACGCACAGGTAAGACCTGATGTCCAAGTGGCATTTACCTCTAATCATGACCATAAGCCCGAGATGCAAAACACTTTGTGTTACCTGTGTGTGTGACAGAATTTGTTCTTAATCAGAGTCTGTGCTAAAATACACCGTATTGATGGTACCTTGATAGGTCTTGATTCTGTACCTAGTGAAGTTTCAGGTTGGTGCATATTCACACTTGCTGGTGGGGCATTCAAGCCACTATCCTATGGCTTATTTCTGTATGGGAAGAAGTAATGCTATTAGCCATGCCTATGTAGCTCCTGTGTGCACTTGTTACCTGGATGGTGGAGGAAGCAACCACAAAGGAAGTGGTTTCAGCAACATTTTGGCTAAGTGTGAGTTGGTCCCAGGCGGGAGCGGCTGATTCAAAATTCACTTTACTTAATGACTGTTGTCCATTGGATTAAAAACTGGAACAGTTTGCAGCCTGCATGTGGTGGTCATGAGGAGGCAGCATTCCCATGACTCATTGCAGTACAGGGTGGGAGACAGAGAGGCCTCTACTGTGCTTCACTGCTACTCTGCTCTAGTGGCAGTTTAAGTTGCTGAAATATAAGCAGCAAGCTTGTGGTCACCTTTCTGATGGCCAGGGGAGCTTACAAGTAACATCAGCATTATTAAAAATCACGGTAGGCAACTTTGAAGAACTTCTCTGCAGCTGCAGCAGCTGAGTGTAGATAACTGTGGGTGGGTGGAGTGTAGGTGGACAGTCAGTCCCCCTGGTGGTTACCTTTGCCTGCATTCCTCACCTGGGATCTTTCCCATAGGGTGACTGGTGGAGAAGTCCCTGTGGGGGTGGACCAGCTGCAGCAGTTTCTCTGTAAGGAAATCCTAAACAGTGAACTTGCTGGTCCTACTAACTAGCTGTCCCTATCAGGGTGCCCTCCCAATGTGAGCTGTAGTTCAGTGCTTCTGGAAGAGCCAGGTTGGAGGAGGCTGTGCTCAAGCTCTCATTTGTGGGTGACTATTTCTGATCAACTAAAAGTGCAAAGGCTCCAAGCAAATGTCAGTGTGTATTTAGCTCTTTTAAAGAGGTCCATATACTGTTTTTTTTTTTTAAGGATGGTGAGGGAGATCCTATTGATATCCAAGTGAAGAGCAAGCCAGATGGCATCTATGCCTGCTCCTACATTCCAGCCAAACCAATCAAGCACACCATTGCTGTCACTTGGGGTGGAGCTAATGTACCCAACAGCCCATACAGGGTAAGTATTAAAGCAACCAGAAATAGCCGCTGCTGCTTGTCCTCCAGGTGCAGCGTGTCTTGTGCAACACTTGCTTATTTTAACTGCTGCTGCTTACTGGTAGCATTACTTCCAGCAAAAGCTGAGTCCTGTCATTAGGGGTGTGGAGTGAATTTGGGAGGAATTATAACCATAGTATAAGACTCAAGGATTGTGTAATCAAAGGGGATAGCCTTAAAGGCGCTTAATGTAGCCTTTCACAGCCTGGTGTGCACCTCATGTTTTGGACTCCCTTTCCCAGAATTCTTAACAATTAGCCATGCTGGTTAGGACTTATCAAAACTGAAATCCAAAACATCTGGAGGGGACCTCCGAGTTGGTGAAGTCTGGCTCAATGTGGTTAATGCTTGTCTATCCAATTAATTTTTCAAAACACTTGTTTCTTTTAGATCCAGATTGGGCAAGGTAGTCATCCTGAGAAGGTGAAAGTGATTGGACCAGGGGTGGAGAGAACTGGTCTGAAAGCCAACGAACCGACTCACTTCACAGTAGACTGTGCAGAGGCAGGAGAAGGTAAAAAAAAAAAAAAGGCTAGTGAAATTGCAGTGTTGATTTCTGCATAAATTGATTAGAAAGCTGAGTCCTAAATGCTGTTAAAAGGGAAACACTTGAATCCTGTGCAGCTGTTTTTCTAGAAAGCCACGTTCACATGGAGGGGATTGACAGAGCCATCTCTAAGCATGCAGAAGTTTTAAGCCACAAATCATGGCCTATGGGAGCAATTGTGGAATTATTTTGCTAATTTTTCCTTTTCCTTTCCTTGCTAGGTGATGTGAGTGTGGGCATCAAGTGTGATGCTCATGTAATCAGCGAAGAAGAGCAAGACATAGATTTTAACATCATTCATAATGCGAATGATACTTTCACAGTGAAATACACCCCTCCTGCTGCTGGGCGCTACACTATCAAGGTGCTGTTTGCTGGAGAGGTAAGCCATGTTGTGGGCACCATATTGTATCCACATTAGTTGACTGCAGCTTTTGTATGTTTTGGCATTGTTGTCTGTCTCGGAGTACTTTCCTAAAGGACGCATCATCCAGTGTGTTGGCTAATGCTTTTGTATGTTTTGGCATCTTCCAGAAGGATTGCTGCTGCTGCTTGGAAGGCTCTCAGGCCGTCCAGCTCCCTACCAGAAATGCCAGGCAGAGTGGGAATGGTGGCAGATGTTTTAATGCTGGGGAACAGAGACTTTAGGACCCTGGTCATGCTGCCTCTCACCTCTCCTTGCTCACAAGGACACCTGTCTTGGTTCCATTCTCCACATCCTCTTCTGCAGTCACTGTGTGGAAGAATGTCCGCTGTTGGAACCTTTCTGTGGCAGCTGGAGCGAGAGAGGGGATCCACAGGTGGATCTATCTAGGGGTGCAGGGGAGAGCCAGTTTTCTGTGACACCCCAGATGTTGCCTTGAGGCCACAGGATCATACTGCCTTTTATTTTATAATTCATTTTACCCTTTAACTGTGGTTACAGAAGTCTTTGCAGTTTGGCAGTACAAAATAATTACAAAATGCACCAAATTGATGGACATAGATTACAGTAGTTAGGATTTTTTTTTAAGTTGTTATCAGAAATTGTTTCTCACCATCTTAAAAGGTAAAGGTTTCCCCATGACATTAAAGTCCAGTCATGTCTGACTCTTGGGGGCGGTGCTCATCTCCGTTTCCTAGCCGAGGGAGCCAGCGTTTGTCTGCAGACAGTCTCCGTGGGCATGTGGCCGGCATGACTAAACACCGAAGTGCACAGAGCTCTGTTACCTTCCCACTGAAGTGGCACCTTTTTATCTACTTGCATTTGCATGCTTTCGAACTGCAAGGTTGGCAGGAGCTGGGACGGAGCACAGGAGCTCATCCTGTGTGCAGATTCAAACCGGCAACCTTTCGATCAACTGGCTGAGCAGTTTAACCCACTGCGCCACCGCATCCCTCTCACCATCTGAGGTGGTCACTAATGTTGGGAAACGAAAGTGAAATACATTGTTTGCTGTTTAGAAATGAAATGTTGCATTCAGTGGTGTAATAAAGATAATACATCCACTGCCAGGCATTTTAGTCCAGAAGTGCTTCCAAACAAGAAACTTTTAAAGCCTTTCTAAAACTGAGTTTTAGAAGGCTAAGGAAGTTGGTATATGACAGACCAAGAACAAGAATGCCGTTAACACAGATGCCGGAAAGTGGTGGCAGACAAAAAACATCAGGTCGCTCCTCAGTTAAGGTGTAAGACCACCCTGTGGCATTTGCTTTAAAGGAACTCTCAGGTTCATCAAATGTTCCCTAAAGCCTACATGTTTAAGCTAACCTTGGGCTAAGCAGGAGTAATGCTGCCATTTGAGCTTCTGGGAGAAATATTATGTTGTAGCAGTGGGTTCTTTTGATATTTGGGCACCTGCTTACCCAAAATGAAGTGGATGACTCAACCCGTAAGATATATTAAAAAAAAAAAAAACTAAAATGATGCTTCTGTTACAACTAGTTGATCTTGTATGCCTTGCTTTGCTTTGAGAAAAAAAACTAACTTGATTTTACAGCAGCATGGAAGTGTGAGGAAAGAAGTGCTTCTGCAGAGTGTTGGGTCTCATGAACTAGTTCCTTTTGTTCTGCTGTAATCTTGCTGCAAAAACTAATACTGGCATTTCTTTCTTGAAGGAAATTCCGGCCAGCCCTTTCAGAGTGAAAGTGGAACCCTCCCATGATGCAAGTAAGGTCAAAGCCGAAGGGCCTGGACTAAGTAAAACGGGTAAGATTTCTTCTAATTTTGTATGTGAAATTTAGGGTTTACCTCATTGTCTTCTTATTTGTCTTTGTTGTGTATATAGCATAATGCAGCTCTGTTTCAAGGACAGATTAGAAAAGCGATAATAGATGTTGTGAGCTGGTCCCTTCCTCCTTTGCTTCAGGTTATCAAATTCAAGACAATTCTTCGAAGGGTAATTCTTTATTAAAGCAAAACAGAACAGAGGAGTATGAACTTTAAATAGCTTTCTTACCAAGGTTGAGGGAGAAGCATCTGCCAATGTAAAAAGTTGACTCCAATCTGGAATCTTCTCCTCAGTCCTTCCCTTTCAGTAAAGTTTCTGGGTCCACCCTCTGGGGGGCTTTTGCTGCTTGAGGGCAAGACAGTTGGAAGAGTGAAACTCAAAGTTCATTTCTCCTGTTGCCTCCTTACTGGGACTCCCATTGGCTTCCTCTCCCCTCCTGAAAACCCTTCTAAAAAAGGCTGGTTTCTCACACTCTGTCTGAGAAAGTTCACTAGGTAACCTTGAAACTCCAAAGTCCTCCCTCATTCCCCCTGCACCACCACCACCACCTCAGAATCAGATGAATCTATCTGAACAGTCTGTCTCAAGAGAGACATAGGCCCACTCTTTACACTAGAAAAGTAAACCTGAGGCCCAAAAACTTATGTTCGGTATTTCTCTGCATTCAACAGTCTGACTGCAAAAGACTGGTGTGACTTCCTCCTGAACAGTTCTAAGAAAGTAACTTCTTTTCCTACTTAGGTGTGGAGAATGGGAAGCCAACGCACTTTACTGTCTTCACAAAAGGTGCCGGAAAGGCCCCTCTGGATGTCCATTTCAGTGGACCGAGGGCGGGAGATGCAGTTAAAGAATTAGACATCATTGACAACTATGATTATTCCCACACTGTAAGATACACTCCAGTTCAGCAGGTAGGCATTCTTCTTAAGGGTAAAATTTGGATTTCCCCCCTCTTAATCTGCAGCAAGTTTAGTACTGATTGATATGATATACTAGATAGATAAAATGCTTCTGAGTTCTTGATACCTCCTTTGTTGAAAATGTCATGAAGACCAAGCTACTCGTACATGCAAATGGCCTGACTGGATCAAAGGTTTCCATCAAAATTCTCCCAAAGCAACTTTGTACTCACTGTCATATGTTCCAAACTCTGACACTAGTTACAGCTTGCATTTTTGCTCCTGGAAGGTTTAAGGATGTTTGTGGAGTTGTATTCATTTCTGGTGAGCAGTGTTATGGTTGGCCCTTAAATGTCTCCTTCAAGCAAAGAGCAAAGCAAAACCAAATATTAACATGATTTTTTGGATTAGGTTCCAAACATCTTCATGTTCTAATCCTTAGGAGAGGTGGCACTGGCTTCTGTCCTGTGGATCCATGTGGTTGATGTCTTTTTGTTGCTTGTTGTGGTTTCTCACCCTAATACCTGTACATTTCTATGTCTATATGATTCTCTGGATATCCTGCTCACTCCAACAAGTTTTAGATATCCATTGTTTGGAATAAGTGGATTTTGTGGATGACTTTGCTTTACTTGGATCTTGGTTCTAGAAACCCTGATGCCAGCTTTCTCTTTGGCATGCTGTTCATGAACACTGGCTGGTATAAATGGAAACTGACTTTATGAATTCTGAAACAGTGGTACTGTGTAGTATACTCCAGTAAAGTTGCAAGTTTGCAAATGCGTGGTGTGTGTGAATGATTATCTTTGAACGTATGGTCGACTGTTGTCAAATGTGTCCTTTGGAAGGCAGTTAAATATCGCTGGCTGGCTGGCTGGCTGGCTGGCTGGCTGGCTTGCTTACTCTTAAGATGATCAGATCCAACATACACAGTGATGCCAGCTAAACCATTTTAGTTTCGCTATGGGAGAGTGGTGCATTGCACCAGTTCAAGAAAAGACTTGTTTCTTGTTGCTCTACGAGAAGCTCCCTGTATATCATAAGTTAGCACATCTGGTAAAGGGTTACATTAGACCTTACTTCCCAGTGAGCTAATTTAGTGCATTCTGAGAGTTTTGTGTGCATGGGAAGCATTAAAAAATGCCCCACCTGCAGGCTGAAGTGGTCAAATCCCACATATTCCCCCTACTTTGTAGTTTGTGGGCTACTTGGTCCTTTGGCTCTCAGTGTAGAGAATGGAAATAGAAAAAAAAAAAAAAACCCCCAGGAAACTGAATGCTGGCACTGTGCCAGCATTCTGTCAGGGACAGAAAATGTATAAGTAGGTGGTGGCAATGCAGCCTTGTTTGAAAAGTGCACCATATGTACTTCTGCATTTTTGAAACCAATTTGACAAGGAATCTGAAGGGAGAGCTGAATAAGGGGTGGAACAAGTAAATACTGCAGGCAGCTCTGCTCAGTTGGATCTGTAAATACAGGAGTGACAAATACTAGTTATCAAACATTAAACTACTTCTAGCCCTGTGAAAATGTAATTTTCATTCTCAAATGCTTATCCAAGGATTATGTTCCAGAACTGCCACATGATATGCACCTTAGTCACAGGGAGTTAACGTGTTTATGGCGTTTTGGCCCTTGCCCAAGTAGCTTAGTTGAAAAATCTGAATTTCCAAGCATCTTTTCTATAGCCAGTGTCTGCTGCTTCAAATTTATGAGTGATCTACAAAAATGGAACAAAGGAAGTCCCAAGATTATGGATGCATTAATCTTGTACCCATATGGGTAAATGTAGATGGTAGCATGGCAGTTTCTAGGCAGTAAACACTTCTCATTCTTGGCACCTAATTAATCTGCTATAGAGAAGAAAGTGCAGTTGCCCTTCTGTCTTGACTGGAGCTACTGTTCAGATTATAGGAGATAAAATGACCTAAGTGAAGGAGAACCAGGAAGAAAATGGACAATCTTTGGCTTGCTTTTACATTGGATATATTTTTATAGGGACAAAACATTGAAGTTTGAATGGTTTTGGTCTGTCATGTTTAAGCTATTACGGTTCATGTGTAAAATGGCATATTTTAGACAAAGAGGCCTTTTATGAAAGACTCACAACCATGATGTTGCAATCTGCTTCCTTGGCACTCTTCTTGTCCCTTCTATATGTTTATTTTTAGACCCTAGACATACATAGTTAGAAATACCTGAATATACCTCTCCAGCAGGCATGAGAGATGACCCCAACAGTGTTTCTGAGGAAAGGGGAAAGCAGTAAGTGCAATATAAGCATGGAGTGAAGCATGAGGATTAAGGCAGCCATGTCATGTCAGGAGCTAACTGCTTTACAATGTTGCAGGTGACAACAGCTGGATCTTCAGTGGACGTCTGAAGGCTGGTTAGGATGAAGGGGGTTTGAAACACAGACTGAGAGTGAAGGAAAAGTGAAACTGGAGAAACATGGACCCTTGCAGAAGGAGGGGTGCAGACTTTCACCTAAAACTCAGCAGAGGAACCTGGAATACTTGCCAAAGCAGAGTGGCATTTAGTATTTAAGTGCCGAGTTTCTAAAAATTTATATCAGAGCTGCATCTGCCCAAGTCTGCTTCTTCTGCTGAGTATTTAATTACTCCAGAGTCTGTTCTCATTATCAAGCACATCTTGAGTAGAAATCTGGAGGTTTAAGTAAGCTTCTACTTGTCTGACCTTTGGAAAGATAGATGATGGTTTTAATGGAGAGTCGAATGTCAAACCACTAAAGACTGTGGTTGCAGGAATGTCTTGGATATTAAAAAAATGAAATAAATTTTCAAATCTGTCCAACTTCTCTAGGGTAACATGAACATTCTGGTGAACTATGGTGGTGATCCCATCCCTAGGAGTCCTTTCACTGTAGGTGTTGCTGCTCCACTTGACTTGAGCAAAGTTAAACTTAATGGTCTGGAAAACAGTAAGTAACTTACCTAATGTGAGTCACATACTAAACAAGAAATGAAAAACTGAACACAGCTGCTTGAAGGCAGAGCTCTGGGTACCAATAGACACCTGAATTTAGAGTTGTATCTGCTTTGTGTGTTTGTAGCTCTCACTGATATGCTTAAATTGGGAAGGTTTAGGGGCTATTGTATGTATGAGCTTGCTAAACTGCAATTGGCAGGTCTTGGTAAAGAGCAGCCTATTTAAGGAACATACTTTCAGTGAAATATCTGTAGTAAACCAAGTTGTAGCCTTAAATATTAGGCTAAAGTTCAGTCTTATCTTCTGATAAAACCCTTTCAATATGTTAAATGTGGGGTTGTGTAAGGTGCGGGAGCTTTCCCAAGTTCCACCCATTAAATACCAGAGCAAAAACAAGTGTCTTGATTTTGAACCTTTGGTCAAAGCTGCCGATTTATTGACTACACTGTGGCAAGAATGAGAAGGGTGGATCCAAAGGGACACACAAGGATGGATTACAGTTCTACCTATGTGTGTTTCCAAAATGTTCAGCTATAGTCGCAGCCTCCTGGATTGCATCCTACATGGTGTCTTTTCAGGGGAAACGTAGTTTTATCAATTCCTAACTATAATGAATTTTGTGTGTGTGATGCTTTGAGTCACCTTGGGCAGGCTAATCCTGAAAGGAAGCACTCAAATACCGTAAGCAAATAAATGGGGAGGAGGAATGGGCAGGACAGTTCCATGGGTAAAGTTCTGCTTGTGGTTTGGATCCAAGCCATGATCATCAAACAAACCACAAGGTGATGCACCAGGATTTATGGAGGATTTTGGAGCTTACGTTAGAGACTATTAATGTTTCTAGGTCTGGGTTGATGGGTAATTTGAATCTGGGTTGTCTGAAGAGTAGCATACTGGCCAGTAAACAAGTTTCTCCATTCTAGACAGGACTATTACATAATATAAAGCCATGATAATGCTTACACTGGGACAATGCAAAAATGACCTATACAAAGAGAATGTTTAGATCTTACTCCAACTTCCTGACCTTGTGTGACTACTTGAGCCCTCTACAGCCACTAACTCATGGGTGGACAACTTGTGGCTCTCCAGATGGGCCTGCAACTCCCATCATTCCGTCTAATTGCCTATGTTGGCTAGGACTGATTGGAATTGTGGCTGTTCGGATGCTTTGGCTTACAAGCTGCCCATCCCTGCACATATCGGATCATCTCTCCAAATGACATTTTTCATGGGACAGGCTTGTAAGATGAAATATTTAGATATGTATGTAATTGTACACGTTTGGCATGTGAATGTGTCTGTTACAACTGTCTTCTGTCTCTGTATTCCCCTGCCTTATTGAACATTAGTATGATCTACAGTCAGGAAAAACAGACCAATTTAAGTATATTCTCTTTGCTTTCTAAAGGAGTCGAAGTGGGCAAGAACCAGGAATTTCAGATTGACACAAAAGGAGCTGGTGGACAGGGTAAACTGGATGTGTCCATCTTCAGCAATACCAGGAAACCTTTGCCATGCTTAGTAGAACCAGTAGTAGGCAAAGAGTGTAGCACTGTAAGGTATATCCCAGAGGAAGAAGGACTTCATATGATTGATATAAATTATGATGGGAATCCAGTCCCAGGAAGCCCCTACACTGTGGAAGCCACTCTGCCACCAGATCCCTCCAAGGTAAGTTTCTTGCTGGTCACTGCATGAGTTGGTGAACTCCAGTGTTTTCATTGCTTGGAAAGTTGTGTACTATTTATAATGTGCATTGTGCTATTTCTAGGTGTAGTCTTATATATGAGTTACAGAAACTATATAACCTGTTCTGGGAAATTCCAGAGTTGCACCAGTGGAGAATTCTGTGGTCCAGAACATAAAGTGGGTCAAGTATTCAAAATAATAAGTTAAGTCCTGGATGGATGCTTCCTTGTCAGTTAGGATGAGAAGACTGCCCTGCTACCTGAAGCATTCTGGATTGGCAGAGGTCACACGTCGATCCCATGCAGGCCTTTTTAGTCATGACCTAAGTTTTTGTGCTACTTGAACACATACTGAGTTTTGTAATAGCTGTTTGGATTGAAAGGCCTAGCACGGTTGATGTTGAATGAACAGCAGGGTTTTAAAAAATCAACACTAAGTTACACTTGACCACTTTACACTTTTCCCTTGTGTTACTTGGTTCATCTTCCTTGCTTTCAGAACCAATTAAACTAATGAGAATCAAGCTGATGATAAAGCATGGCAGTATGCTGATTCAGCCAGCTATTAAGCAATGATGTCACTATCTTTTGAAAACAGAAAATAGCACTTTCAGCTTGAAATCTTGCTGATACCTGTCTTCAGAAGAGTACACTTGCCCTTTTAACATCAAGATGGAGACTGCATTAAGAAACTAAAATTATACAACTGGTTGATATGGTGTACTGGATAAATATGTCTATGTATTTAAATTCATCAGTACAATTTGCTAACTGTTTTAGGTGAAGGCCCATGGGCCAGGACTTCGAGGAGGCCTTGTTGGAAAGCCTGCAGAATTCACAATAGACACCAAAGGTGCAGGAACTGGGGGTCTTGGGTTAACAGTTGAGGGACCATGTGAAGCCAAAATAGAATGCTCTGATAATGGAGATGGAACATGCTCAGTCTCCTACCTGCCTACAAAACCAGGTGAATACCTTGTGAACATCCTATTTGAAGAGGTCCATATTCCTGGCTCTCCTTTCAAAGCAGATATTGAAATGCCATTTGACCCTTCAAAAGTAATTGCCACAGGCCCTGGACTTGAACGGGGTAAAGTGGGTGAAGCTGGATTGCTCAGTGTGGATTGCTCAGAAGCTGGGCCTGGGAAGCTGGATATGGAAGCAGTGTCTGATTCTGGTTCTAAAGCAGATGTTAAAGTTCAAGATAATAAAGATGGGACATATGGAGTTACATATGTGCCCCTTTCTGCTGGAATGTATACACTCAAAATGAAATATGGTGGAGAGCCAGTGCCAAACTTCCCTGCACGAGTCAAAGTTGATCCGGCTGTAGACACAAGCAAAATTCAAGTGTTTGGGCCAGGAATCGAAGGGAAAGGTGAGTCTATTTTCCTTTTCTTTTAGATGTGTTGCAAATAAACTCAACTTGTATATACCGCATTTTGCGTAGAATACATGCTTAAATGTGCTTGAACAGGGTTCACATCATTTGTGCTTCTCACGATACTGAATTATACAACTTTAATGACTCTCCTGAAGAAAGCACCTTGATGACAGGAGCAGGGTGTGGGCCTCTGAATGAAGCTCAGTGGGTGGGAAATTAGGTGGGTGATGTTTGCATTGCAGAATTTGGCCCTCTTTATTGCTGTGTCTGAGTTGCTGAAAACCCATTTCCGGGCAAGAACAGATGTGTGTCCAGTGCATAATTCTGTCCAAATTGAACTGTTTACCATTTCTATTTGGCAGATGTCTTCCGTGAAGCAACAACAGGTTTCACTGTAGATGCCAGGCCCTTGACCAAAACTGGTGGAGACCATATCAAAGCCCAAATTGCAAATCCTTCTGGAGCTTCCACAGACTGTCTCATCAAAGACAACGCTGATGGGACATACGCAGTACAGTTCACTCCATATGAAAGAGGTAAGTGGTGTTAGTTGCTGTTGACTTTGGCAGAAGGGTGGGGAAATAAATTTTTCTGAACAATGCTATTCTGTACATGTGTACCAATGTGTATGAAGCTTGCTTACTCTAGGAACCCCATTGTATACCTGAAGATGCACAATCAGTGGCCTCCACCCCATTTGTTAAAACAGCCGAGGATTTCCCTGCAATTACCAACATGATCAGGAATTCAGTATTTTCAGGCAGGAAGAGCACCACTTGTACCTTGTACCCCTTGCAGTATCTTCCAAATGAATCTCATCCTTCTGCTTGCAGGCCCTCATAGTGTTGAAGTGACCTACGATGATGTTCCTGTTCTAAACAGCCCTTTCAAGGTAGACGTCACGGAAGGTTGCCATCCTTCCCGTGTGGTGGCCCAAGGAACTGGGCTACAGGAAGCTTTCACAAATAAACCAAACCCATTTACTGTTGTCACCAGGTAAGCATCTTGGACCGTTTTTTAAAACGTTCATATTAAAGTCGAATTAAGCCATGTGGGTGTGCGTGTGTGTCTGTATATGGGCACACCTTTTCAAAGCTGCAAGATTTAACTGCAGAGCCAAGTGGAATTGTGTTTGACAGGCTTGCCTTCTCCCAGAGTAGTGGCCTAATAGTGGCAAGCTGAGGGCAAGATTACAAATGAAGCAAAGCAAGTCAGAGCTGCTCCCGGTGATGCCACAGGCTTACCAGTTGGCGTGATCACTGTTACAATTCCTGACTGCCCCGCCCATGCGCCTTGAGCAAAATGCTTGACTCCTGGCAGTGTTCCCCAGAGCTTCTTTGCATGTGGCTCTTAGGCTTGCCAGCCACTGCCCTCACCTCTTACTTGAGTGCTCCCCAGGCTAAATCGGAGACTTGGTGCTGAGGGAAACCTTTAGGCTTCTGTGACTAAGACCTAACTGCATGATGGGCCTTGTTTCTGAGTGCTGCCATGTGAGAGTGTAGGAGAGCACAGTTGCTAAGCAGTCGTAGAATGCAATACTAGCCTAGAGGAATAGACTTAAAAGTAAAACTTAACACTCGGAAGTGTTATCTCTAACACAAACGTACTGGCTTTTTTTTTTTAATGTTCACAGAGGGGCTGGAATTGGTGGTCTTGGAATAACTGTTGAAGGTCCTTCAGAATCCAAAATAAGCTGCAAAGATAACAAGGATGGCAGCTGTAGTGCAGAATATATCCCTTATGTTCCAGGAGACTATGATGTCAACATAACTTATGGGGGTGAACATATTCCTGGTAAGGCTGCTTGCATCATGCAAGTAAATGGCTTTTGTTGGAGAACATACTGAATATTGTTGAGCTTGTTCAATCTTTTGTGGCATTTTAAGCAGACCTAATAAATACTGGGCTCTACTTTGAATTGTGTTTCTCTCCCCACCCCTACACCCCGGTCACTGATGTGTTACTAATCTTATTGGCCCCCATTACTAACTTTTAAAAAACTGAAATGGATGCTGTATTTAAATGTCTGTTAAACCTAAAAAAGTTAAAGCAAAAGTGTCTTTGCAGAAAAGCTCACAGTAGCAACAGGGAAAAATAAGCACATATTCTTTTTAGCTTAAAACCTAATTGTGATATATTTGAAGCTGTTTTTTGACAACTCACTACATAAAGATTCTTTGCTGGAAACTACTGCATCATGTTTTCCCTTGAACCAATTTTAACAGTGATCTAGTACATATGCCCTCACCCCCAAGTTGGATGGTCAGAGTTACATTGAGTACAATTCCATTTCACTGTAAATATTGCCAGCAGTTTGTACACACTTTTATGTTGTAATTTACAGAAGTAAACAGAAGTACAGAAGCATTCACTATGGCTTAATAGGATGCTATGCTGCTCCTTGACCTTTCAGCTGAAGATTGGCTCGTCATGGATCTGAACGTTAAAAATCCAATGTAATATACTCATTAAAATGTATACAAGAAAAAGGATAACTAGCTTCCTGTAGCCAGAGAACTAGCTGACTCCGTTTAAACTAAAATGTGAAACGCTACTTCCACCAACCCCAGTCCCTGCAACTTGTTTCTCATTCTTTACTAAGATTTCAGATCCCGGTGCCGGGTTGAGGAAATGGGCCACAACTGACCAAACTCTTCTGCATTGCCGTTCGTAAGGGCACTGTATGGAATGTCAGAGCCTAGACCTGACATTGATCATCCTTTTGAGATTTGGCCTACAAGTTTCTAGCCTTCAGGACTTGCCCCACTTCCTCCTAGTATTGCCTATCCTTAGATGTGTGAAGGTTTGCCCACAACTTCCTTTCTTCACTGCCTCCATGAACAGGCCCATCGGCCTTGGGTCCCTGCTGTAGCTTTCCTGTCCTTTCCTCACCTTGACATTTCTTCAGACCCTTCTTCTTAGCCTCAGCATCCTGACTCAGCCCTTTCCCTTAAACAGCCTTTATTTTGCTTTCCTCAAGTTCTCTGTGATGGTCCACCTTGCCCCTGAACTATAATTTCCATACCTCCTGGGACTTCTTTCAGTCATCATTGTCCCACATACTTGCTACTGTCCTTAGGACTGCATGAAGCTTTAATTCGAGACACATCAGTTTTTAATTTTAAAATTAATTTTCCCTCTAAAATGCAACCAACCCCCCCTCCTTACAACTAAAGGAAAAACATATGAGATTAATATACAATTAAAAGAATTCTTAGATACTTCACCCCACAATGCCAGGATACATGGTACAGATAGAAAACTCATTCAAAAATTATTTCAGGACATTTGCCATTCCAAAACTGCAGTGATTCTTTTGACAGTTTAGATCCCCCCCTTTTTTTCAAGATCACATGCTAAATTTATCATTAATAACTAGATTCCCTACTTCTCTATACCAATCTTACAATTGATAATCATATTTTACGTTCCCATTATAAGCTATGATTCATCTCGCAACAGTTTTAAATTTGTTATTAGTTTTTCATAGTTCCAACTCCATTGTTTCCAGTAATTCCAGACACACCAATAACTTCCTGTTTGCTCACAGAAACCATTCTGCTAACATTCTGTCAGCTCTTCTCCCTGAATATTCTGTCTGCTCAGGAAGCATTCAGCCAATTTGTGTTGGATTTTACTTTCACAAACATAGTACAGATAAAATCTTCTGTTTCAGAAATCAGAAACCAATACAAAATGAAGGTGGGCGATATAAATTGAACTACAGCTGGGGCCAAGCATGCCCTGTGATGAGCTGTGGTGATTGGAGGGAGGCTGTGGGCTGATCTCTGTGAGCTGCCACACCTCCCTCGCTTTGTTGTGCTTCAATAGGCGTATTGTTGGCTCAGTCTTGTCTTCTGCTTTTTTGGCAGGCAGTCCATTTAAGGTTCCTGTAAAAGATGTTGTTGACCCCTGTAAAGTGAAAGTTGTAGGACCAGGCTTGGGAACTGCAGTTCGTGCCAAAATTCCCCAAGCCTTTACTGTGGATACCAGTAAGGCTGGAGTTGCGCCACTTGAGGTTACAGTGATGGGACCCAGAGGTAACTTGATACTAAAATTTGTTTTATGTGAGGGTTGACGGTTGTTGTGTGCAGACATGGATGAGAACTCTAGATCACTTCTACCAGTTACAGTGCATTCAGCTGAGCAGTGCATCCCCAGGGATAAGTGAAAGTAGCATCATTGTCGGAGGAGTGCCAAGTATTTGTCATGCCATACAGAGTTGGGGGTTACAGTGATCAAGAGTTGAGGTATCTAGAATATCAGAAAAGCCATTATGGATCAGACCCATGGTGCATTCAGTCCAGCACTGCATCTCCCCGGTGAAAACCAGCTGCCTACAGGGACCCCTCAAGAGGAATAGGTACAAGACCTTTGCCTGCTCTGCTATAGAAGGCAGCACATAGCCAGTAAGGCTACTAGCCACCAATCACCTTCTCTTCCATGAATCTGATCGATCCCTTTTTAAAGCCATCCGAATTGGTAGCTGTCACAGCCTCCCATGGCAGAGAATTCCATAATTTAACAATACACTGTGTGAAGAAGTGTGTGAATACACTGTGTGAACTTCCTTTTACCTGTCCAAAACCTCCCACCTATCAGCTTCATGAGATGACCCTGGGTTTGAGTATTTTGGAAGAGGGAGAAAATGTCTTCCTCTCCACTTTCTCCACACCATGCATAATTTAAGCATCTCCGTCATGTCTCCCCTTACTTGGCTTAAGCTAAACAGGCCCAGTTGTTGTGGTTGCTCCTCACAGGGGAGTTGCTCCAGCCCTTGCATCATTTTTGTTGCCATTCTTTGTACTTTTTTCATCTCAATGATGCCATTATCAGGTAAGGTGACCAGAACTGTGCACAGTATTCTCAGTGAGGTGCGCCAAGGATTTGTATAAAGGGAGTTCAGTCGTGGCAGTCTTTTTGACAGCAATTCATTAAGCAATTCTCATGTGACACAGCGAAGTGAGTGAGAACCAAATACAGGTTTTCCAGAAGGGCCATTCCATTTCCTCCTGGCTGTTTCTCCTTCCCTTGGCCACCTATTGTTTCCCAGAATTCCCAACTTTTGCGCATTCCCCTCATCCCCACCCCAGCTTTCTAAATGGTTGAATTGCCACTCCTAGTTATTGCTAGCAAGAGCTTACACTAAAATAGGCTGGTATATTTGGACCCAGCTCCTCTTCCTTTCAGCCCCACTCACCACTGGAATGTGGTTCCAAAGAACTTTGCTGAAATGAATTTTGGCCCTTGGCCCAAAAGAGAAAGAACTGAGGGAAGACGGGATGGAGGTGAAGATCTGAGCCCAAGAGTGGGTGGCTGGGAAGTAGGAAATAAAATTGGGAAGAGTCTGGGAAGGAGAAGAGAAGGGCTTTTGGTACTATCAGACACTGAACAGTGCCAGCTAAGCCAATAGTGTTAAATATAAAAATCAAAAACATTTAGGATTCAGTCCCATGCAAGTTTAGACAAAAAATGCCTACAACTCCCAGCATGCCCCAGCCAATTGTAAGCCCCTTTTCCTTCAAAACTTGCACAAGATTTTCAAACATCAATACAATGTATTTGAATATCTCCAAATACTCAAGAGTACTCAAACCAGACATCAGACACGAAGTTTGAGGGGAGATTCTCAGTGAATGCATTTTATGTCTCCTGTTGGCAGATATAATTCCAGCTCTCATCTATAAGTAATTCTTCATGGGGACTGTTAAAATAACTCACCAAGTGTTGAGGGATGCAGTGATGATAGGAATTAAACTATATACACACTGTACCATGAACGTGGAGTAAATGAGACGTCATGAGTTAACATGGCTGTTGCCTGTATAGGCACTTGGCCATTTTCTAATTAGTTTATGTCAGACAAGGAGCAACTTGACAAAGCTCTGTCTTCTGGATTAAGTTAATAGTTTTTTAATTCTAGCTGATGAGCCGGATTCCCAGTCACGGCGCAGTCCACTGAAAGCAATTTCAGAGTTCTTTAAAGGTGATCCGCAGGGTGAATCTAATATGACAGGTTTGAACTTTAACTAATTGCTTGTGCCCTCAAAAAATCTTCAAAACTTTCTATAGTGCTGCTGTATGATTAAACTGAAGGCTTAATTAAATTTCTCTGCTCAGCAGCTTCAGTACTAACTTCTGCTTGAAAGATCTTTTTACTAAAGCTTTCTTTTTGTTTGATTTATATGATCTAAATTGTGACTTCAGGCGTGTCTAATCACAGCTTCATGTTGCAGCGAATCCTATGAAATGCTTGCATGTGCAAATCCACAGATTATAATTTCCAGGAGAGGCCTTAAGAGTCCATCTTATCTTGAACCAGCAGATCATATAACATGGCAGTGCTAAATCTACCCACTCTCTAAACTTCTCAATGGCTCACTGAGTAAGGCCACTGACAGTTCTATACTAACAAGCCACAGCACCGAATTGGATACTGAAACTAATCAGTAGTAGTGTGAAGGGAAAATTTTCCTTCCTGTTTCTGGATGCTTATATTTAAGTATGCCCGATAACTGACCTAAGCAGCTGTCTAATTTTGGAACAATAAATTGTTCTAACCCCTCTTTGATAGGGGGGCCTTAGCATTACAGCTGTTGAAGCTGAGCCAGCTGAGGAACTGCTTGTGATTTCACCTCTTTCTAATTGGTGAGGTCACAGACTGGGAATGATAGGAATAAATTGGCTTATCTGAGCAGGTCACAAAGCAGATGTCAGTGCAGATTTCTTGCAAAGCTTTAAATCAGTGTTGTGTGTTTATGCTTGAAGTGACCTATTTTCTCATGCGAAACTGAAGCTTTGAACACAGCCGAATTAATATAGTATCTTTTTCTGTTTAGGCTTGGCGGAACCTGTTAGCATAGTTGACAATGGCGATGGCACCCATACAGTATCATACACACCTACGCAAGAAGGTCCCTATACAATCGGGGTAAAATATGCAGATGAAGAAATTCCTAGAAGGTAAGACAAACTGTGCTTAAACTGTTTTGTTAGGTGGCCTCCGTGTTGGATGTGGATAGACTCTTGGGTGCATGGTCTTTGCTTTTGCACTAAATTCCAGAGAGGAACTTTGCAGTAATAACTTCAATTGCCAGGGCTTAGTTTTTCCTGGTGGTTGTTGGAGAGAAGCTACAAAGGCATGTACATTTTGTCGAATCTGGTCCGCACTTTGGAACTCAAGGGTGGGCAGACTTCAGGATTATCAGATCTTGTTGGCATTTTATTAGAGCCCCATGATCCAGCAAGCAGAGCTATGTGCAATGCTTAAAGCTGAAGGGCAGGATGCCTCTGAGCACTTAGTGAGCCAAATAATTTGTTTTCCATATCAGAACTGAATTGGGCTCAAATACAGACATCCACTTCTGGTTACCCCAACCTATCCATTTTGGGAGCCTAATTTAGGTGGGAAGTCTTTCTGCCGCTGCTAGGATTTGCCAGCTAGGACTACAGATCCCCAGATCCCCATCTCTTTCTGTCTACCACTGCTTTGACTTGACAAGGGTTTGCCTCTGCCATTTTGAAATGAAAGACCAGCCCTTGCTAATCCATTCCCTTGCTCCAGCATAGTTACCATGTGAGTATGCCATGCCCCATGCTTCAGTTGAAGACTGAGCGGAGAACCGATAAAAAGCCAGTGTTTGACCCAAGACAGTGCCTTTGATTAACATTTAGAAGCCCCTTTGTTTTAATGCTATTTGCCAGTGTGAGAGCAGGCTACGCATATGCTAATAATTTTCAATGTTGAAAAATATCACTCCTTTCTTTCAATAGCCCATTCAAAGTAAAGGTGCTTCCAACATACGATGCCAATAAAGTGACAGCAAGTGGGCCTGGCCTTAGCACCCATGGGATTCCAGCAAGCATGCCTGCTAAATTTGTTGTTGATGCTAAAGATGCAGGACAAGGACTTCTCTCAGTACACGTAACTGTAAGATAACTTTCATCTCTTGGTATTTCATTTGAATATGAACACTCTTTCAACAGATCAGGATAATCTCCACATGCTGAATTAGAAATATCTGGGGTACTTAATATAACAGGTAATGGACACTAGGACATTGCTTTCTGTTAGTTGTAGTGGTACATAGGGATGTGGGCTATGGGGTGAAAATCCAGTGGATTTTTTTTTCAATTTCCCCCCCATTTCTGGTTTGGCATCCCTGCACTAGTACTGACTCAATATGGTGCAATTTGAACAGGTTTCACAGGCTTCTGTCTTGAAGAGAGCCACAATTTACACCTTTTCTCTAAAACAAACATTGCTAAGGAAATAATTTCCACTAGTTGGTACTCAAACAACATTTGGTATTTGTGCTGTTTGCATAAATCATCATGGGCTTCTTGGTTGCTAATTTGTGCAAAATGCACAACATACTCTGTGTGTGTGTGTTTAAAGCTCAAATGGCAACCTACCTCAAATGGAAATTTCTGGAATCTGGTCTGCTTCTGATAGTTGGATCAGAAGCAGAGCAAATGTCAGTTGAGCTCAAATCAGCAGAAGCCTAGTAGAACATCAGTAGGGTCCAAAATGTAGCTGCAAAATAACACTCTTCTATTACATTGTACAGAGAACAATTGAATTGTACCATTAAGCTTCCCTTAAAAATGTCACTCATACAGGGCCAGCCCTTAGCACAGTCTCTGTGTTCTGGTTCTGAATTGTCCAGGCAAAACTTGTTGATCCTGCTAGAGGATGCTCTGGACATAGGACCCGATAAAGTGCATTTTAATGTGAATTATGTCTGGTCTTTTCAAATGCCCTGAATTAGGCCAGTGTGCACTTTTCACCATGAATGAGCAAAGACAAGGTTGTGTAGAAGGCCAGTGCATGCTTTGGAGCTAATCTTAGCTGGTCTGGGCTCTATTTCAAAGCAGCTTTGTTAGAAGCATTTTCAAATGCAGGCGTCGTGATAGAGTGATACTAGTTAACCCCCGCAGTGAATCAGAACTGTTTCCCTCAACAGCTGAATACATAGTTGTCAGAATAATATATGGTAAATCCTTTCTCTAATGAGCAGTCAGTGAAAATGGTAATGTAAGCTCATAGTTGCAGGGTGACCTTGAGAAAACTTGCCTAATGTACCCAAAGTTGTGACAGCTGTTTCTGGTTAAAAATTGCAGCAAAGCCACATGTAAAAGTTGTCCGGTGATTCTAATATATGCCTGTGGGTGCTATCCTATGGACTCCTGACATTGTCTGGGAGGCACTGGGTTATTTAGAGCTGTGCATAGAGCCCCCAGCCCTCTGTGCAGCTGGTGTGGGAAATAACTACACCCAGATAGTAATCTGAGGTTGGAAATTAGGGGGGTTGGGATGGGGGAGCTTACGCTGTATCCAAATGACCCTCCAGCTTCCTTCCCTCCTGCTTCAGGGGGATTTGCAAGAAATGGCTGCCTAGGTGAAGTACAGGGCATGAATGCAAGGTGGCAGAAATTTCCTGTGCCATGCCGTGCACCATGCAGTGGGTGCACATAAAGCAAGTTCAGAGGTTTATGCACATTGAGCATTGGATTGCATTCTGGGACATTTTTAAATAGAGGGCTACACTTATACTTAAAGGGGCTTTGCCCATTCAGAGAAACAGTGTATTTGTATGAATGACTAGTTCCCATTGGTGCTTAGGCTATAACATGGTGGGCGCATGTTAAGTGCATGAGCCTCTTGCATTCTATGGGTTTTCAAAGCCCTTAATGTTTCTTGCAGAATCCAGAGAATGTTTCACAAGTGTGCCCTTGCAAACAAGTTCTCTTGCAAAAACCCTGATTCCCTCAATGAGCAGATGACAGTGAGAGCCAGTGTGGTGCAGTGGTTAAGAGCCTGGGACTGGGACTCAGATGATCCGGGTTCAAGTCCCCACTCAGCCATGGAGCCAACTGGGTGACTTTGGGCCAGTCACAGACTCTCAGCCCAACCTACCTCACAGGGTTGTTGTTGTGGGGATAAGATGGAGGAGGAGAATGATGTAAGCTGCCTTGAGACCTATGAGGAAAAAGGCAGGATATAAATTGAAAAATAAATAAATAAAATAAATAAATAAATGACGGAATAAAAGATACATGATGATCCATGGAAAATAGATGGAACAAATTGAACAATCTGTATTTACCTACTACACCTTGCCTCTTGCTTTTGATGAGATGATTGTTTTAATTATGGCTTCACTTCTAACATTCAGGACCAAGAAGGCAAACCAAAAAGAACAGATATCCATGACAACAATGATGGCACTTACGCAGTAACTTATCTCCCTGACAAGACTGGTCGCTATTCTGTTGGCATTAAATACGGTGGGGATGATATACCCCTATCTCCATATCGCGTCCGTGTATCACCAGCAGGCGATGCTAGCAAATGTCTAGCAACAGGTAAACTGCTTCCTTTTGGCTGCCGTATAAGTACTCGAGCAAAGTTTTTGTATTCTGTATGCCCTGTGTACTAACTCTACATGGGTGGATTGAATGGGTCTGAAATAAATGCAGTACTGTATCTGCCTTCTGTGATCAGCACAGGTACTTGAACAGTAACTTTTTAGGGTTAACAGTTCAGTGCACAGCCATCAAGACAAATTGCTATGAGAATGTACTGGGCAGAGTCATGGAATAGTTGCAGGGAATTAACTGAGTTACTTCAGTCAAATCTGCCAACTTCCTCAAACATTGCAGCTTGACACAAGCATACTTCAGGCAAAAAGCTACTGCTTTCTCAAGAGCAGAATGAAACCTGTGGACAGAGGTCTGTCTTGTGTTCCTAATTTGCGTACTCCAGAGATCTCCTCTGTAGGGTTCTTAACAAAATTGGAGTGCTGTTTAGATGAGAAAGAGACCTTAATTGCAGCTGAATTTCTCACCAGCCCCTCCACTTTCACATGTGCAAGCAGATGCTTGAGTAGCAGCTTGGGTGAGGTTTTGGTGTAGGCCTGACTTTTGACAAAGACTTTGTGGCAATGTCCTTGCTTCCCGGGAGGGGTTTTGGCATAGCTTGCTGGTTTGTAGTCACAGTTGATGTCCAAGAAGAAAGTGCAAGCTACTTCCTTGGCAGAGGGTATGAAAAACTGCTCTAACAGTCATGCTGATTATCTTCTAGGTCCTGGCATTGCAGCCACAGTAAAGACTGGAGAGGAAGTTGGCTTTGTTGTAGATGCTAAATCTGCTGGCAAGGGCAAAGTGACATGTACCGTCCTAACACCAGATGGTACAGAAGCTGAAGCAGAAGTTATTGAAAATGAAGATGGAACGTATGACATTTATTACACAGCTGCTAAACCAGGAACTTATGTAATTTATGTCCGTTTTGGTGGAGTGGATATTCCAAATAGCCCCTTCACAGTCATGGTAAGAGGACTGACTGCTTAATACTGAAAGTTTTTGCATCTCTTTGTTTTAACAAGTAATATGTGGATTAATACATGCTCAGAATAACTGAATGTCTAAATTAGTATTAGAGATGTGCCAAAACATTTGCCCAGATTTATTCTTGTGACAAAAATAGTGCTGTATGTGTAGTCCATGTGTTGGGAAATCACACATTCCAAAACTTTCTGTTGAGCCCTTAACCTTGTGCCCCCATCCAAGCCATCGATCCCTTCATCTGTTACCTGGCCACTCTTATCCTTGTTTAGGGCTCTTCCTTTCCTCCGCCGATTTCTAGCCCATCATGTGTTGTGTAGTCAATAGCAAACAAACAGGAAGTCAACACAACACTTTGCAGCCAGTTGGGTTCTGCTGAATTCATGGGACACTGGGGGCCATCTCTGCATACTGTAAAGGGCTGCCTGTCCCACTCTGAACCTTCCTGGCTACGAAAATCAGTGGAAAAGACCCTTTAAGGAAATACCATTTCTTGCATATGCTAGTTATCAGGCGCACATGAGAAGCTCCCAAACTAGGGAATGTCCTCCACTGGTGGCTGTGATTGGCCCCGCACTCTCTTGGTCTTTGGAAAGGGTTCAGATGCATCTTTCTAATTTAGCCTTTTAAAATAAGAAGTTTTACTGTGTGTTTTACTGCTTTTTACATGTCTTTGTTTTTGTTGTGTTAAGGTTTTATTGTTTTAAATTGTAGTATACTGTCTTTTAAATTGCAATATACTGTCTTTATGGCTAGCTGATAAAGTAGTATATAAATGTTAAGTAAAATGACCTTCTATAGAGCTGAGGCTCCTTCAGTTAGGTTGGTACGGCAGCACCCTACATTTAATACTATTGTCAAATGACTTTGCTAAAGTTTTAGGATCATGGATGTTATCTAAAGGATTTTTCTTCCAAATTACCTGCCTTCACTTGAGTGGAGGAATGCTGGAAGCAGGGAAAAACGTTGGGCCTGGAGAATCAGCTGAGAAATCCAGAGGGAGAGCTGCTTGGGAGAGTTTGGTTCCTGCTTGGGAGTGTGGTCTGCCAGAAATGGCCTTTGGCCAGTATTGTGCCCAGGAGCGTACCTGCTGCTCCCCTTGGTGTTGGCCACTGCTTGCACCCTCCCTGTTCACGGTGTCGGGGGGGTGCTGCTGCGGGGGCCGGTACTGGAGATGATGGCAAAGGCTCTGGAGCACATCCTTGCTTCATATGGCTTGCTTGGAGGTGCTGTACCACTCTTGCCTGCTTCTTATGGCCCAGATGGTACCCCTGCCCCGCACAGGTTGTGCCGCAGAGTCTGATGTGTATGTTTACATATTGACTTGTGATGTGTTATAAGCTCTAAGAAGGAACAGGCTTTGAAAAAAAAACAGAAGACAAAAACCTATACCTTGCCTTTTGCTACTAACTAGGCTACAGATGCAGATGACGTTGCAGTATTGTCTCAGGAGCCTCTAAATGCCGCCTGTCCCCCTGGATTCCAGCCCTGGGTACACAGTTTTTTACATTCTTCCATGTTCAGCTCAATAAATGAGAGCCTGCATCTTGGGTTTGCTAAAGCTTGCTTCCATGTCATATCTTTAATGGTGGCCAAAATGCACTTTGGGAGAACTTGGATTTGATTCAAAAACTTCCTTCATTGCTGTGCTAATCACTTTTTGAACAACCTTTTAACACCACAATAATTTCAGCTATGGTACTGTTTCTTTAGGAAACTCCGTATCATTTCCTTCTTGCCATAAGATGGCAAATGGCATTTTCTGGAGTCCTGTTGCAAGTTTACATTTGCTGACCACATTCCTCTGGCTTTATGTTCTGGTGTCGCTCCTGCTTTAAAAATACCTTTCTTCCAGACCATTGTCAACTTCAGTTCTTTCAGGCGGAACTATCCTGCGCCTTGTACGTGCCCCATGCCTTGCATTTTCACAGTTCCATTTGTATGTCTAAAATGTTCTGTTTTGAATCTGTTTTGTGTTAAAGCATGAAAGTGGTGAGCCTCTGCAGTTGTATAGTGTCTTAATTCTGGATGCAATTGTCTCAACTGACCAAAACAGTCAAGGAGATTGTTTTCTATTGGATACAGAAAATAACACCATTTAACTCTTTTCTGCTGCTTTAGGTAACAGAAGAAGCTTATGTACCTGATGGTGACATGAATGGAGTAGGCTTTAAGCCTTTTGATATGGTCATTCCTTTTGCAGTAAGAAAAGGAGAAATAACTGGTCAGTAACTTTCAGTATATAATGGACTACTTTCTTAAATTACACACCTTATTAAAATCAAGTAAAAGTCCTTGCTCTGTGTGTGCTGAGAGTTTTTCCAGTATTTTGACAGATCAGCTTATTCTCCTTTCAGTATAACTGAAGTGTGGAACTAATTTTATGATACCATTTTTTGTTCTGCACTTCTGTTTGGCTTGGAGGAGAGGGAGAATGAAACCTTCCTAGGGAAGCTGCCATTGGATCCTACTGAGTATGCTTAGGGGCATTTTTAGACCAACGTTCCCTCAACCTGGTGCCCTCCAGGTGTGTGGAACTAAAGCTCCTGGCACCCTTCAGCCAGGAAGGCATCAGGTTGGGGTCAGTTGACCTAGAGCAACCTTCCTGGTCTGAACTCTAAATCTGTCCACTTGGGTAGGTTATGGCAAGCCCCAGGTATGATTTCCATCACTGAATAGTGAGCATAATGGATGCTGCTTGGGCCAAATGCACTATATATCTGCCTATCTTAATCCGGAAGGACGTGTACTAAGCTTAAAAACCTCATAAGCTGTATTCCACTCACTGCATCAAAATAACAAATGACTCCTCGAGGCTTAATAAGGGAAGAGGATTTTGGAAGTCCCTAGCTAGCAATGCAGGACTGTTGTTGTGCCTGCCATCAGTACGGGATGATTGGGTGACGGATCCCAGTGCCGTGCCAGGACTGAAGATGAACATACTCAGATGGCTTAGCTCATGAGAAAAGTATTGTTCAGTTGAATCCTTCTGGTTTCAGGGGAAGTTCACATGCCCTCGGGGAAGACGGCAGCAGCAGATATTGTGGATAACAAGGATGGCACAGTCACGGTTAGATATGCACCGGTTGAGGTTGGGTTGCATGAAATGCACATCAAGTACATGGGCAACCACATTCCAGGTGAGCGTCATTGCACAAATGACTCAACTGGGGGCAGCACATGCAAAATACAAGCCCTTCATTTTGTAATCTGTGGGAAGGATCTTAGTGGATCTTAGGATTTTAGCTGTTTGCATCATATTGCTGGCTGGGTTGTCTGTATGAGATGCAAATGAAAGTTTGAATAAAAACCCTTCTGACTTTTCCCTTTGTTAACCCTGTTAGATTACTTTAGGGTTTTTCATTTGGCACTTAAAACTATATATGCTTGCAGTCTGGAAGAAGAGAGAAACCCGTAGTCATTTATATTTTTCATACAGAGTTATAGATTACTGGCATAGATATAGCCAGGAGTCCTTCCTGGATTTTATTAAGCTGCAGGAACCACAATGGGGTGTAGCTTCCCACACCTCAAGTGGCACTGCTTTGGGGAAAACCCATGGTGTTCCCCAGCTGTTCTATCTGCTCCCCACCCCAGAGACCTCATAAGGAAGCCTGGAGCTGCAGCTTGGCAGGTGCTGCTTTAGGGGAGAAATGCCTGAACTTGTTTTAATTGCTGAAATATGTTGAATACAGCATCAAATTTTGTATTGACATTTTATGCTGTTTTATTGTTTTTGTATGTGTGTTGCACCCAGAGGGCTGTTGGGTGGTATAGAAATGAAATTAAATGTAAACACAAGTATGAACATGCTACATATTGCTGCCCATTATGGGATGAGAGGTGAGTGCCCTTCTAGTCCCGGGGCATCCATGCTTCACACTTCCCACCCTGGTATCTACTAACCATATGAACAGGTGCTAATCCACTGCTGACAAGTATTCTGCATGTCCAGCTCCAGGGATTGACAATGGTAAGATGAGAATAGAGTTCCTTACATCAGGAGGCAGCTAGATAGCAAGTAGCTGGTTTGTGGCTGTAAGTGATAGACAGGAATACATTCAACAGTGTGAGCTCTGAAGCCTGCGGCAGAGCTAGAAATAGAAGTACTACTTAAGTTCCAGCCACAAGAACACTCTGTAGATACCCAGTGTGATTTTTTTAAATGGTTTTGGCTTTTTCATGCTCTCAGTCATAGTTAGCTTAGAGATGATTGGGCCAACTCAAGTTTCCTTGGCAAAAGCCACATACTGTATAATCAACAGAGGTCTTTAATGTTGGCATGATGTACAGCCTGAAGTTTGCTTGTTGGAAGGAAGCATTTGGACTGGCGGGTTGGAGACACACAACTGCATGGTATGCTGCACATGGTATGCTGTACTGAGGAATGAAGATGAGCAAAAGCTATAGAAGAACTAGATTGTGTAACAAAGTCATGGACAGGAGACTTGTTGTATAGGCTTATTACTTGCAGTGGTAGGCTTAATAAGCAGCGTTCCAAGACACATAAGGTACATTAATCAAGAGTACTAGTAAAACATCAAAATTGGATGAGGATGATATAACTGGAACTGAGCTCAGTACTTAGAAGCAGATCAAAGGGCTTGTTCTAGACCATGTTTCCTTGTTTATATATAGTAACTTCTAAGAAGTTCTGGGATTAGAGGCAGTACACCTCTGAATGCCAGTTGTGGGGAAATAACGGTAGGAGAGGGCTATTTCTCTTGTATCCTGTGTGTGGGTTTCCTGGACTGAGTCTTTGGCCTGAACTAGCACAGCCCTTAGGTAATGTTGGAAGGAATATGCAGAAGAACTTGACTGAAAACTTCAGAGCCTTTCAACTAATGAATAAACATTTATATTTCTCTTCTTGGAAGAGAAAAATGGCCGGAGTTATTAAAAAAAATACTCCCCCTCAAATGTCTGTACTGATGCATAGTCTCTCATTCCTCACAGAAAGTCCCCTACAGTTCTATGTGAACTATCCAAACAGTGGAAATGTGACAGCTTATGGACCTGGTCTTGTTTATGGTGTAGCAAACAAGCCAGCAACCTTTACCATAGTCACTGAAGATGCTGGTGAGGGTAAGTGCCCAGCTTCCTAGTCGCAAATGCATTTTTGTCAGAGCTCATCTCATTTGAACCTAGAGCATTAACTTCCAAATAAACATGCTTGGAACTAGAATGGCAAGCCAAACGTTATTAACAGTCTTGAAGTAGGTGAATAGAGCTAACTCATCAATTACTGCATTTATCCAGTAACTTCAGGGGACTTATTGACAGGTGTTCAAGTTAATGGCACTAACAGATTGGGCTGTTTTTCCAGCACTTTGCAGATTACATGGTGCATTACTACTGACTTGTTTAAACTTGCAATGACCCTTTTTATAGGCCAGGCCAAGAGCTGCCCATGTTCACAAAATAAGCTTTACAGCTGAGCTTGATTTTATACCTGAGCATCCCTCATCCAAAAGCAACAATCTAGAAGTTTGATATATTCTAGGTAAAATAATGGCCATTGTTTTAGAGTTGAAGTGGGATTCTTGTAGTCCATCAAGTCTGTCCTCTTACTCCATACAAAAACCCCAGAGATGTCTTGGCACTGGCAAATTCCTTAGGAAACGTCCTTTCCCTAACAATGCCCTTAAATAAAAGTTGCTTGTCTCACTCTAAACATGGTTTGGAGGGGTAACTTGCATGAGAAGACTTTAGATGTTTATAAAATGTTAATTATTATGCTTTATCAAAGTCTTCACCAAACAGCTCTCATTCACCCAGAACTACTAGGGGCTCCCGGTCTAAATGAGCTGGTTTCGATTTCAGACACTCTCTTGGGAAATGTGTGCTGAAAGATAATACTCATTTTCCCCTGGTGTGACAGGTGGTTTGGACTTGGCAATTGAAGGCCCCTCCAAAGCCGAGATCAGCTGCATTGATAACAAGGACGGCACTTGCACAGTCACTTACCTGCCCACGCTTTCAGGAAACTACAACATCTTGGTCAAGTACAATGATAAGCATATCCCAGGAAGCCCGTTCATTGCCAAAATCACAGGTATGAGGAGCACTCAAAATACAACAGTTAGGAATAAGGGTTGGGTGGAAAAGTGCATGTTTTGCAAGCCAACACAACTACTTACTTTGAAAAGGCTTGCCTATAAGCAATGGGATGCTTTGGCCAGGCTGACTGTGTTTCTGTAAACTCAGAGTGAAAGCAGACAACTTGATTTTCTGAAATACTAAGCTGCTTCTATACGATGTCAGTGTCAAACTTTTAGCTAGGTTCTGGCCAATGAATTTAATTTTTGCATTTTATTGATATTAAAATTATCCTTCCTATAAAAACTTCTGAGCTGCCCAAGTATTGTCCTGTAAATTGGCCATTTATAGTAGTAGCTTGTTTGAGCAGAAATTTGCATCTGGAAACTGTTGGAGCAGGTTAATCTCATTAGTCAACAAGCAGTGTGTCATCTGATTGTTATCCATGCTTTCAAGTCTGTACCTTTGAACTTGAGAGGCATTTGGATGGTTTACCCAAAATTTTAACATGTACTGGAAGCAACTAGTTGTTGAAAAGTGAATATCTAATTCTAACAAAATGTTCTTTCCTAAAGATGACAGTAGGAGACGTTCCCAAGTTAAGCTTGGCTCTGCTGCTGATTTCTTGTTGGACATCAGTGAGACTGATCTTAGCCTCTTGACAGCCAGTATTAAAGCCCCATCTGGAAGAGATGAACCTTGTCTCCTGAAACGGCTACCCAATAACCACATTGGTAAGTCCTTCAGGCCTCCTAGGTAACTTCCTAAATTGGCATTTTTTTGCCTTGTGGTGGATTATAAAAGTTGGCAGAGTGGTCTCTGGGATATAGGAAGATACCTTATAGTGTGTCAGACTGCTGGTCCATCCACTCCAGTATTGTCAACACTGACTGGCAGTGGCTGTCCAAGGCTTCAGGCAGAAGGTTTTCCTGGAGATCTTCTGCATGGCAAGTATATGCTCTGCCAATGAACTCGCAGCTATTGCGCAAAGGATGGGAACTTTGTGGGTCAGGTGCCCAGCTGGACGCCAATAAACTTATTAAATTTGTGGCTAAACTGATGCTGCCTGTAATTCTTGTAGTAGATAGCAGAAAGAATGCATAACCAAGAAAATACAGTACTAAGTTATAAATCTGCCTTGTCACCAATTTCTGTCTGGCAGGTATCTCATTCATTCCAAGGGAGGTGGGAGAACACCTGGTCAGTATTATGAAGAATGGAAGTCATGTGCCCAACAGTCCCGTGTCCATTATGGTGGTTCAGTCGGAGATTGGCGATGCACGTAGAGCAAGGGTTTCTGGACGTGGCTTGGTGGAAGGACGTACATTTGAAATGTGTGACTTCATTGTGGATACAAGAGATGCAGGTCAGTAGTAGACCTCTGGCAAGGACATAATGTGTGCTTAATCTAGGAAGTTACAGGCTTTCTCGCCATGTGTGGCTGTGAGAGAATAAGAGAGGGAGAGTGCTTTTTGGCAGTCTGCCATTGTGGTTCTAAAAAATATTTTCCAACTCTCCACTAGCTACAGTTACTGCAGTGTTTTGCATGTGTTGTATACTTCCCATCCTCTGAACAGAACTAGACATACTATAGGTGGGATCCAGACTTAGCCATACTTAGAGTAGATGCATTGAACTCAATGGGACTTGAATAACTTCAGTCCTGTTGGTTTTAGTGCACTACTTTATGGGTGAGTGGGTCTACCTAGCCTGGATCCACCTCTTTGTATCCTGCTTTAGATTTGTCAACAGTAGGACGTGAGAGCATAGAAGGCATGGGACCGTGGATACCTGCCTTGATGAAGTCTGCTTATGTACATAGGCTAAAGCTCAGAGCTCACATAAAATGGTTGATATCTGGAACATCTGGCTCTCTAAAGAGTTCACTTGAGACAGGGCACTTGCAGCTATTCACATCTGTAAGCATTCATTCCAGCATCTCTTTCCTAGGATACGGTGGGATATCACTAGCAGTCGAAGGACCTAGCAAAGTGGATATCCAGACCGAGGATCTAGAGGATGGAACTTGCAGAGTGTCTTACTTTCCAACTGTGCCTGGTGTTTACATTGTGTCAACCAAGTTTGCTGATGAACATATCCCAGGTAAGAGGAAAAAGAAAGCTGGCCCGCCGTTGCCAGCACCGAACCGTGTACAGATTCTGTTGGCCTTATGTCAGGTTATTGATACACTGGAAGTGCTTGAAGGGATGGCTTGATGGTAAAATCATGCCTGGTGAGTTGCATGCATTTTGTAAGCCCTTTAGTCACTTGAGCATGCTTCTTTTGCGGGAATTTTTCTTGCTGCAGCATATCACTAGGTCCTACAGTTTGAGCTAGCAAAAAGATTACTGAACATAAGAACATGAGGAAAGTCATGCTGATCACACCAAAGGGCCATCTATCTGGTCCAGCACTCTGTACACATGGTGGCAAACCAGCTGCTCCCAGGATGCCTCAAGCAGGATGGGTGCAAGACCTCCTCCTGTCCATGCTCCTCAGCAGCTGGTGTATGCAGGCATGCCGCCTCTGGTAGAGGAGGAAACACAAGCCCGCAAGGCAATGGTTTGGTATAGGACACTGCTTTCCTTGAGGGTCACCCAGCCTTAATTACATTTTTTTAAATGCTGTTATCCAACTTAGCTCGATAGGATAGAATTCTAAGCTACGAAAAATGCTTCTGCTTGCCAGTGCACCTTTTTGTTTAGCTGCTTAGGAGTCTTGTTAACTGCACTTTGCTAGAAGTGACTCAGTATGATCTCGTTTGCACCAAAGGCAGCCCATTTACTGTGAAAATAAGTGGTGAAGGACGGGTGAAGGAAAGTATCACACGTGCCAGACGGGCACCTTCTGTGGCCACTGTTGGAAGCTTGTGTGATCTTAACTTAAAAATCCCAGGTAAGTTCCATACTCTTACTATTCTGGGTAACGGCAGAGAATCCAGAGCTACGTGAAACTCACAGGGCTCCATTTACTAATTTTGCTGTGCTGTGTTTACTTCACCTGAAATATGAGCAAATGAATGCTTGAATCTTCAGGGCATTCTGTACAAATTAGCTTTAGGAATGGAATACCCAAATGACTTTCGGGGACCAGAAAGGGCATTTTCATTACTGATGCTTCTGGGGCGGAATGCTGACAACCACTTGCTAATCTTTCCACTCCTCATGAGATAGACCTGGCGTTAAATCGAGCCCAAACCTTGCCCTGACTCCAGATTCTCCTGTTCAGTGTCTGTTAGAATCACTACGGAAGATCCTAATCTAGCCAGTGCCTGGGTGGCCTTTTGCATGCTTTGGGAGGTAAATGAGAGTACAGTTGCTACTGTAAGATTTGTCTTAGCATCTGTTTTTCATGTGGCAGTTTAACTGGGGAATATGCATCAAACAAAACATTTGCTTTTGGTTAGCATAAACATTCTCCTCCTCCTAGAATGCACTTGGATATCATGTGTTACAGTTCAACATGCTAATTGTTCCATTTAATACACACCGCCACCTGATTTCCTCCCTTTTTCTGCTACTCTAATCAACTTTGCTTCTTCTGTCTTTTGTTCCTTTCTTTTCCTCTGCTGCCTTCTCATAGTTACATGGTTCCAAATGGCTATATGTCTGGAGAGGCTGTCCTATCTTTCACATCAGTTCAGTCCCACTTTGCAGAACGCTGAGCAGGAGGAAAACTGCCAGACTCATTTGAAAGAACCACAGTGTCCTATTTTCACAGATACCCCAGCTAACATCAGAAGGCAAAGTTTCCAATCAGTCTTTTTGGGGGATTTGCTGAAGTATTGCTTGCATCCTTCTATAAGGGTAGTGGGTATGTTTAGCATTAAGGCTGTTCACTGTCTGTATCCCACTTCAGTAAAGTCTGCCTTTAAGGCACAACAAATGGCAAATAAGCCATTTGGCATTTGTTACAAAGATTTGTAACAAATCTTAATGGTGCATCTAGTCTGTCATGCTTAATTAACTGAGGAAAAGGTTAGTTTTTTGACAATGCTTGAAGAATAATCCTTACATTCAGTTAATAGAGTTTTAAGTACAGTTTTCTCTGCATTCAAGTCATAAAAATAATAAGATAGTATATGTCTGTCTTCGTAACTAGGAAGACGGTACAGCAATGGCAGCTTGTATAAATTAGGGATGGTGAGAATTCAAAAGAGGGCATGAGATCAAATGTAAAGTCCTGTCTCAAATACCCATTTTTACCTATTTTTAATCTGACTGACACTCAGTTGAGTTCCAGTCAGACTAAATGGGGCTTCTTCCCACTTATTCTTCATTCCTTAGTTTACGACAAAAGGGGGTAAAGAAATGCCTACTGCTTTATTGCAATATTGCATGGTATACTCAGTAGGGAGTAAAGGTATGCAAGACCAGAGATGGCTGGTTGGGGTCAAAGAGCAATCTAATGATGTGAACGTACCAGCTCCAGCCCTTTGAATTTCCATAGATTTCCATAGGAGATTTGATTTGCAAAATGGGGAGAAAAAGATCAGATTTATGAATGTTATTGGTGATGTCTTGTAAAGAGTACCCAGAAATCCCTAGTGGTTTTTCAGGTGAATGGATGCCCATCTGCAGTATATACTTAATCCTTTCTATGAAGAGGTGAGTGTTAGCTAAGGATGCTGGAAAAATCATAACAAATTCAGATAAGTCTAGTTCTCTGTGAAATGGCCTGCAGACTCCAAAGTGGACTGGCCTTTTCTGAATTGTGTAGATTCTTAAATCTTGCAGGTCATTTTTTTAAACTTTTAGGGATTATTTCTGCAAATACATACTAGTGTTAAAGTGCATTCATGCAAATGGAATAAAATTTTCTTGCATCTCCTAAAAACAGAAGATGCAAAAACTAAGTTAAACAAACCAGCAACAAAAACACTCCCATCAATGAGCAGGTGACAGAATGAAATATTTCTGTCAATTCAAAAAGCAACTTAAACTTTGCTTGAATATATGATAGGTTCAACATAAACGTAGGAAAAATGGATTTAACAAAATCAATTTGTAAAAATCAAATAGACGAATGTGTACTCACTGTGTGTTGCTGGTTGGACTTCTGGGAAGTGTTTATAAATGTAATAATAAAATAGAATATCCTGCCACCTTTTTTCTTGCCAGGAACCCAAGATGATTCTCATGGTTATTGTCTCCACTTTATGCTGTTAACAACCTTCTGAGTTTAGGTTTAGTGCCAGCGATTGGCTTAGATTATCCAGTGAATGTCATCGCTGAGTGAGGACTAAAATTCAGTTCATTCAAGTCCCAGTCTAACACTCAAATTACTACACCACACTGGCCATGAATAGCACCACTAAGTAGCTGGGTTGCATTAGCTTCCTACCAAATGCACCTCTGGCACCTTGGCCACATGCGTGATCTTTGCACATGGCATTGTTTTAAGTTTGTTTCCTGAGCTAGTGTACACTCTTTGAGGGCCACTTTTAATGTAACATTTCTCCTCCTCCCCAAAACTTCTGGGCTATGTAGCATTAGAACTTATTTGGAATAGATCATAACCGCAGTTGCATAGTCACTTAGCAATGTAAGATGGTCCAAAACTAAACCTGCTGTCCACTAACGCTGGTCTCTCTTCTTTTTAGAAATTGATATCGGTGACATGTCAGCCCGGGTAACTAGCCCCTCAGGCAGAATTACAGATGCTGAAATAATGGAGCATGACAAAAGCACGTATTGCGTCCGCTTTGTGCCCCAGGAAATGGGGGTCCATACTGTTGATGTGAAATACAGAGGGCAGCATGTGCCAGGCAGTCCGTTCCAGTTTACTGTTGGGCCGCTTGGTGAAGGAGGAGCCAACAAGGTCAGAGCGGGCGGACCAGGCCTTGAAAGAGCAGAGGCAGGAATCCCAGGTAACCAGCTTCATGGATTTCTCCGCAGCACCAAAGCATGTGACATGGTATGAATGCCTTGCAGTGAAGGATCATGGCTGTAACCTTAGAAAGGATGGTTCCTCTCTGGGGGGAGGTCACACAGCTGGTTCCAGCAGCATGCATTTTGGGAAGCCTGCTGCAGCTCGGCCCCTTTGTAGCATCTCTATGCGGCAAGAGAGGCAGTGGCCTGCTGCTAATCGGTGTCTTGTATCAACAGCTGAATTCAGCATATGGACCAGAGAAGCAGGAGCTGGAGGGCTTTCCATTGCAGTGGAAGGCCCGAGTAAGGCAGAAATTGCTTTTGAAGACCACAAAGATGGATCCTGTGGTGTATCGTATACTGCTCAAGAGCCTGGTATGACCGTCTACTGTTCATGACCTGAAATATTAATAAGATGCTCAACAAGAGTTCCCCCACATTATTTGTTTGCTTATTGAAATTCTTGTGTCTTTCAGGTAACTATGAGGTGTCCATAAAATTCAACGATGAACATATTCCCGAAAGCCCTTACCTGGTTCCTGTGATAGCTCCTTCAGATGATGCTCGTAGGCTCACTGTTATGAGCCTTCAGGTGAGACACAAGGAAATATCTCCATAACTTACCACAAGCTGATTTCATCCTTGGGCTCCTATCGTAACTTGCCTAGTAGTGACACTTCTTTGAGAAAATAGCAAGCAAGTAGGCCTTCCTAGTTATGGAAGAGCTTCTAACAACGACTGTTCATTGTGCCTAGTGGTGCTAAGCATCTTTACATACCTTGCTGTTAACATGAGCTTGCTAAGTCTGTTTAAGCACATCAATGTAAGACAGTAATCTGGAACAGCAGTCGTGAGGGTAATAAGTTGGCTTGTAGGACTGCAAGCCTTGCCTCATGCATAGACCAGACTCTGCAGAGCAACAGCAAAGCATCTGCTTCAGGTGTGTTCCAAGAAAGCACATGGTTGGAGAGACCACATTTCTTGGAGTTTGTCTGGAGTTAGCACAAAGCAGTAATTGTTCAGGTGTCGCAGAGCACAGGTGTCAGATATGTGAAAACTTGCTTTTTGTATGTAGTCCTTTATCTTATTGTGGTTTGCATGTAACTTAGGGAAGTAATACCGAAAACGTAAATTTTGAGCAGCCTGGAAGACTCAGGCTGAGCTTCAGGCAGGCAGCATATGCAGCTCACTCCTGCATTTGGTTCAAGGCACTATTGTGTGCATATATAGAAAGGAAAAAAGCCCTTCAGCTCCTAGCATGGTCCAGCCAGCATGGCTGACTGGGCATTCTGGAAGTTGTAGGCCGTTGTTCTGTCTAAGCTCGCATAGGATTTTGCCCTAAACTAGTTATCAGATTACTGAGGTCCGCTGAATTGGTATACTGGTACTTGTTGCATTAGCACAATTTTTTATGAAATGTCCCCCAGAAAGAGGAGTTACAAGGACGTTAATTAGCTGTTGTGGTATCGATGTTTTTCTTGTGTTTCATTTAAAGACTCCTGACAGCAGGTGTTGTGTCAGCTGACTTAAAACCCTGAAGAGGGAAATAAAGAAGATGGGTATGGGGACTGAGGCTGGGATGAGTGAAGAATCCTCTTGCAAAAGCTTTTTTGCATGCTATAAATGCTCTCTGATGCATTTTAGTGGCCTAGTTGTGCCATTGCTCTTCCTTCAATTTATTTCTCTCTTGAGGGCGAAGCTGTACATGCAAGGTCAGGTAAGCCATGCATTGTACTCTCAACACACCTGGTGATGTAACTGTGGCTTTCCCAGTGACTGCAAGCAGGAACTTCTCATGCAAAACGGAGATTGGCTTTTGTATGGGTGGTGACTGGTCCTGCACAACAGGTGCGCGTTCACGTTTACTTCTAGTTCCAATGCCTTTACGGCCATGTTACCAGAAATCCCAGGACTGCATCTGTCGGCATGGTGCAAAGCATAATGCCTTGAACAGAAGGCTGCAAGCGCCATACTAGGGAACATGTCATACTCTTCTTGGCAATGCATGATTGGCAGGCCATGCAGCTAATGAGTTCAAATGAGTATTCGGTATGTCAGTGTAGATTTTGTGCAGACAGCTGCCCATTTGGATAACACCAACTGTTTGATTCAACTTGATGTGTTTAGATACAGTTCCATTCCAGCCTCCTAAACTGCAGAAAAATGAGGATCATCTTGAAATATTGATCAGACCAGAAAACAGTCTTTGAGTAGAACAAACTTAAGTGATGCCTTGTAATATCTTTCAGGAATATATTTAGCTCCTCTGAAATACAATGGCATTCCTCTCTGGTTTAAGTTCTGTGGAAATGGGATGATATATTTCTCTCCCCCATCCCACCCTACCAATTGAGTACGTCTTCATATACATCAGGTCCTTTACAGAAGAGATACTTAGGTAAACAGCAGGAGTAAGCAACTCTTTCACAAGCACAACTTGTATGACAGTTTCTTTCTTGAATTGCAAAATGGGATGCAGGCCTGGTACAGTTCACATCATGGTTCCGTGCTGCTTTCCGGGTGAAATGGTATGAAACTCACTCTGCTTCAGAGGCAGCAGTGTGGAACCGTTGCAATATATTCCTTGCAAGCCAAATGACAATGTGTGTGGTAATCTTGATATCGCATTCTTAGGAGTCTGGGTTGAAAGTTAACCAGCCAGCAGCCTTCGCCATAAGGCTTAACGGGGCGAAGGGCAAGATTGATGCTAAAGTACATAGTCCAATTGGAGCAGTAGAAGAATGTCATGTCTCTGAACTGGAGCCAGGTAAGGGTATATGCCGAACTTCACACTAGAATTCCTTAAACATGCTTAAAAATGACAAATCTCTCTTGGAAGATAAACAGATCAGGGACGTGCTCCAAACCCAAATGCAAGAGGTTGAGATTGATGCCCATTATTAAAAGTAAGGAACTTGTAAATTCCATGCCCTGTTTAAGTTGATCAGCGCACATGCTTTGCCACACCACCTAACTGCAATTTGTGCACTGAGGAAGCACTCGCATGTGCAGGGCACAGATCTGGTTGAGCATGACTGAAGGTCTGCCTAATGGCCTAGTTGGACATGCACTCTCAGTCTCCCATTCAGCTGTAGTGGTCATGCTACAGTGGGCGATACATGGCTACCTGCTTCGTCTCCACCGGTCCCTCTTTCCATCCTGCTGCACACAGCGCTGCATTTCCTCTTTCTCTTGGGAAACTCATGGCACCCTTTCAGGCTAATCCAAGCAATAGCTCTTCTGCAGCCATGGGCCTGCATCTGCTGGATAACACTGTGCTTCCAAATCACCTGTCAGGCCAGCTATTGGTTTCTGGGAGCAGGTGATACAAGCAAATGCTTGTTCTCCTTCCTGCTCCTCTGTAGTTCTAATATAAAATGTTTAGGTATCCACTTGCTCAAAGGAATAACTCATTCGTAGAACAGGATAGTAGTGCTGGGAGGCCATTGCGTCCGGTCTCCTGCTCAGTGTAGGACTTCAACTTAATTTCCCAAGGTGGTTGGCCTTGTATCACTGTCAGTAGTTACAATCTCTTGACAATAAGCAACTTCAAATAGAGAAGTAATAAGAAGCACTTTAACGAGATGGCTCATTCTCACGCGTGTCCGCTGCATGAGCATCATGCTTCAGAGGCCTGGCCTGTTTTGGGTGCTGGCCCTTTGGTCCAGGTGGGTAAGCCACAGAAAGGCGGCAGGCTCTAGTTTGGGGTCAGGTGCTGTGTACAGCGTCGAGTTCCAGACTAAGTCCTCCTTTTGCCTGTGTCTGTTACAGAAAAATACGCTGTTCGGTTCATTCCACGTGAAAACGGCATTCATTCTATTGACGTGAAGTTCAATGGGAGCCACGTTGTAGGCAGCCCCTTCAAAGTCAGAGTTGGGGAGCCTGGGCAAACAGATAGTCCAGCCCTAGTCACTGCCTACGGACCAGGCCTTGAGAGTGGCGTAACAGGTGAGATCTATTGTTCCTTCTTCTTCTTCTTCTTCTTATTATTATTATTATTATTATTATTATTATTATTATTATTATTATTATAGCATTTCTATGCCGCCCCTTGCTTTTATGGTACTGGAGTTCCGAAAGCTCTGCCAGGTTCACATCCTGTAAGACTTACTTCCCCTTACAATGGAACTAGTTTTCCTAAGTTTCTGTTTGAATTTTGAAACAAACAGGAAAAACCCAATATCAAGGCAACAGCAGCACTAGATACAAAACCTGTTTGCATTTTTGCAGTTAGGATGCTGGTTCAGTTTAGCAGTTGATCAAGCAATTGCTTAAGGACATTCTGTTGTTTGTTTAGATTCTTTGTGTCCATAGTTCATGGCACAGTAACATGCAAAGGAATCGGCCGGGACATATCTCTGAACAGAAAGTTGTCCAGATGCTGCAAGTGTGGTGTTTACTTAGCAGTTGTGACTGTTGCATAATAGTGCAAGCATCTTTCCATTTAGAAACCCGTTTTTTTTATCTGTTCCTTATCTTCCAGGGTTGCAGTCGGTGTTTACTATAGACACCAGCAAAGCTGGCCCTGGCACCCTTTCTGTTACAATTGAGGGTCCGTCCAAGGTGAAGATGGATTGTCAGGAAGCTCCAGAGGGCTACAATGTAATGTACACACCGATGGCTCCAGGAAACTACCTAATTGGAATTAAATACGGAGGGCCTAATCACATAACTGGTAGCCCTTTCAAAGCAAAGGTGACAGGTAAGGCTAGTAAGTGATGGCTGGAAGTGGGCTTACGGTCACGGTGTCCCATGGGGAAGTCTGGAAGTTGGCAGAGGCATTAAATTGACTTACATCTGTTCAACGCCCCTTTGACTGATTGGATTTTTGACTTAGCATAAGATGGTGCCATTCTGCTAAACTGCCAGACATTCAATCTTGCTCTTTTCAGGCCAGAGGCTGGTTAGCCCCGGCATCTCAAATGAAACGTCCTCTATCATGGTGGAATCTGTCACCAGATCAACAACGGATACCTGCTATAGTGCCATTCCCAAGTCTTCATCTGATGCAAGCAAAGTTGTCTCCAGGGGTGCAGGCCTCTCTAGGGCTTTTGTGGGCCAGAAAAACTCATTCTCTGTAGATTGCAGCAAAGCAGGTAATTTACGTGTTTTTAATGTATGGGTTTCTCACTAGTTTTGTGACCAAACCTGGATTTTTCACCTTTCTTCGGGACCTGGGTAATAAATGTTGAAAAATCTTTAGCACGTCTTACATTCCAGAGGGAACGGCTTGGTTGCCATTGACAATGGAATGTTGAACCCACCACCATGTGGAGGTTCTGTATGAACAGGCTATGAAGAAAAGCGCTAACCATGTTTGTTTGTTTATTTAAAGTTTTTATATGCCGTCCCCTTGCTACATAGCCTTGGGACGGCTCACAAAAGTGACAAATAAAACAATTACAATTAAAACCTGGAAACACACTGGCTGCATAATAAAATATATAAATATTAAACATGATTAAAATACTGTTTGAATAAAAAGATCTTGGCCTGGTGCTGAAAAACAAAGACGGCGCCAGGCGGACCTCTCTGGGGAGCACATTCCACAGATGGGGCGCCACCACAGAGAAAACCCTCCTCCGGGTACTTTGCCTCCTGATATCTCTCCCAGAAGGCTCCCGGAGGAGAGCCTCTGCTGCCGATCTCAAGGGGCAGGAGGGCAAATATGGCCACAGGCGTTCCTTTAGGTATCCGGGTCCCAAACTGTTAAGGGCTTTATAAGTGATTACCAACACCTTGAATTGAGCCCGGACTTCGTTATATGAGAATAACGCCCAGTTCTCGTCAGCAACCTGGCCGCTCTATTTTGCACCATCTGAAGTATCCAAACTGTCTTCAAGGGCAGCCCCAGAAATCCAGCCGGGAAGTAACCAATGCATGCATCACTGTTGCTAGCAGTCATCCTCCAGGTAGGGGTGCAGCTGATGGATCAGCCGAAGCTGAAGGAAAGCGCTCCTTGCCACAGCAGTCACTTGAGCCTCCAAAGAAAGCTCTGGGTCGAGGAGCACTCTCAAGCTGCAGACTCTGTCCCTCAGAGGGAGTGCAACCCCATTCAGGACGAGATCAAGTCACCTACCCAGGAGTTTGAACCACCCACCAGCAGGACCTCCGTCTTGTCTGGACTGAGCTTCAGTTTAATTCATGTGATGAGTAGCAGGGCTATTAAATGAATTTCCTTGCTGTGTATTCTGTACAGAAACAACTTGCCCCCCAAAAGCATGTTGTTTGGATGTGTGAAGAGTTGATCAAAGAACCTGGAATTCTTAAGTGTGATCGGAGCGCTTTCTTCTTGGCAGGGGGTGGCGTGAGTAGTAGGCATTTGGCTACCACTGGCTGAAACCTTCTCTCTTGTTCCTTAGGTTCAAATATGTTGTTAGTTGGAGTGCATGGACCTACAATACCTTGTGAAGAGGTATCTGTGAAGCACTTGGGAAATCACCAGTACAATGTGACATACGTTGTTAAGGAGAAGGGTGACTATATTCTAGCCGTGAAGTGGGGTGAACAACACATTCCTGGAAGCCCATTCCATGTTACTGTTCCATAAGTTCTTCTTGTACCAGAACAGTCTACTCCTAGAGTGAAATCTTACAATGCAAAACTGTGAGCAGTCCTGTGAGAAAGTATCTTTCTCTACGCAGTTCATATTTTTAATGTATCCAAGATTAAATCCAATGCTTTTTAAAGAGTTCTTTTTTGTCTTAAGCATCACTGCTATACCATGTAAATCCAATGTCATCTTCAGATTGTACTTTCTAAATCAATACCACAATCATATAATTATGAAAGGTGCTAACCTTTTTGTGGATTTTGGAATTTACATGTTAAACTGGAATTTGTCTTGGCTAATTGGGAATCTACTCTTAAACTACTGACTTGTAATGGGTGTTTTTAGACTGGAAACTCTTCATTTAGTTGTAGAATATCACTTTGACTTTTGCCAGTTCAAAGATCTTCTGTAAAGAAATGAGGTAAAACTGGTACTTTAATGTGCCTTTGTATACTTGATTGACTGTTAATATCTAATAGTGAAAACTCAAAATCATGCTACAGCTAAACACTATAATGCCTTTTAGGGTGCTTGGTGTTTACAAGTGAACATTGCCTGCTTTTTCTTCTTTGAAGGAAGTGATGTGGGCCATCAGATTGTTCTCGGCAGCCTTCATCACTAATGTGTTGTGCAGGGTTGATGTTGGCTTGCGTCATCCATGGTTGCTGAGACAGGCAGGGTGCCGAACTAGGTTGATGATCTGGCCGAGATGTGCCCTGCTGGGTGCTTGAAGTCAGTTGTGGTGCACCATACACAACCTGCAGCAACTTGTTCCATGAGTAGTTCATGCATGGAAATGTGTAATTCTTACATTGCCTCTCATGGAAAGATACTTCATTTGCAATACATGGGCTTTTAGTACAGTTAAAAGCCAGTTGGGACCTGCTCATCATAACCCCTCACGATGATGTGAGCACTACTAGTCTAGGCAATTAACCATTAAATGAATCTCCAACTGTTTTTACTAAGAGTGCAGATCAATCAAGCCCACTGAGTTTAGTCCAAGGCATTCATACACAGGTGTATCTCTCCTTCGTTGTTTTTATAAAGGAAATATCACACCATCATTCCAACTTTCGAAATGACAAAACACCTTTTTTAAACACACACATACACATTCCAAACATGCAACTAATGGTTACTACAAAGCTGCTAAGGCTTTTAGCAAAATATTTTTTTTTCAAAGCTTTAAATATGCCTAAAGGAGGAAGAGGCTTAATGAAAGTAACCTAGTTTTCTTCCCTCTGTTAGCAAAAGATACTTGGTCAGCTTTATTTTTGTAGTTGTATATCAGTGCACTAATTCTAAGCACAGCTTCTTGGACAGGAGATAGGATAACAAGGTTTTTTTTTACTGTGTTGTGTGCCTTAATGTGAAATGCTCACTGCATTGTAAACTATATATAGAAAAGCAAAATAAACTGGAATAAATGCAAGATTGTAATATTGTATCTCATAACTTATTAAAACTATGAATGTTTGCTTCATGAAATAAAATGTGCATGTTGAATTCAGACGGACTTCCCAGTATTGGTTTTGCCAGGCTCATGCCTGTACATGGAATTCCTTACGTTGTACCTGGAAGAGAGCGTCCCTCACTGGTGGTGGTGCCTCACTGCAGCGGGGGAATTCTTGGGTGTGGAGGGAGGCAAAGTATCAGTAACCATGTGCAGACTGTCTAGGCTGGAAGCAGGTGTTCCCTGTGTGATCAGCTCAAGATGTGCTTTGCAGAAAGACCCAGCTGAAACTTGCATCATTGGTCCCTCCAGCACAGTCTTGTTGACACTAACTGGCTTTGCACACACAAATCTATTCCAGGTAACTACCCACAATAGGTTGTTGTGTGATGAAAACCCAGACTGTTTTCCCCAGGATGGGCAAAAGCCACTCCGACCAGTCATGGGCTGTTGCAGGGATTGTTTTACCAATGATGAGCTGGGTGATCCAGAACTTTCAACCCGTTGTGGGTACGGGAAATCTATCTGGAGTATTTGTATGCCATCCCATCGCATAGCCTCGGGACGGCTTACATAAAATAGAATAAAACATAATACAAATAAAATCTTGAATTAATAAAAACTTAATTATTTTAAGATTATTAATCTTAATTAAGATTTAAATTATAATTAAGATTATTAATAAAATAAAATCTTGCTAGGAGATTGCTAGCAAGCTCCTTTGCAGGAACAGCCAAAAAAAGTCATTCTTGCCATGGGGCTACTAACCAAGTGCCAGTGGCACTGGTTTCTCCCACTGCTATTGTTACTCAATTCAGGCTCAGTCTGGCTTTTTTCCCCAGGGAGGAGATGGGGAAACTTTTTCCTCCAGGGAGGAGATGACAAAAACCATCTGCTAGGCTCACTTTCACAATCTGTGTTTGGACAACTCTCACAGCCCCTTCAGCAGCCCATTGGAGTGGTTGCACAGCCCCTTTATTCTTTTGTGCAAAAACTGGTGTGCAAAAATGTGCTCTCTTTAAATTAGCCACATCTCAGAGCTGTGCTGGGGCAAAACCCAGGGGTATACCTGCTGCCAGTCAGGTATGTTTGTATGTGCCAGAACGAAGTGCCCACTTTCCCAAAAATAGAAAATCCCCTTTTTAAAGGGATCCAGAGTTTAAACAGCTAGTTGTAAGTGCTGTCAGAATTCCCTTTTCCTTAGAAAAATGGGGTGGTGGGGAGAGAGTGCGTATTAGCACTTTCTTAAGCACTAGAAGTTAGAAACAAAGCAGAAATGTGCTTTCTGATGGGAACTGAAGCACTGGAAAAAGCAATGAATATCTTGTTGCAAAGGGGTTTAAATCTCCAAAACAGTGTTTTGGAAATGAAGATAACTTGCACCTTTGGTTTCTCTTGTTGCCTTTTGATCGCCATTAAGAAAAGCCAAAGGGGAGAGGAATGCTTTTGGCACTTCTGGGCAAAGTCCAGGGTTGGTACCTGCTGTGGCTTGGCTGCAGGCATCCCTCTGGACACCACTTCAGCCAGGACTTCAAATCCTTGCAAGTTGGGCAGCTCTGAAAGTTCACAGATAACGTAAAGAACTGCACAAATGTTGTGTGTTTTTTTTCCATTAATTTTGGACAACTGCAGGCAGCCCTTTCAGCATGTCACTGGGAAACATGAAAGGGTTGTTCACGGTTGTCCAAACGGGGATCGTGTGAAAGCTGTCTTCATAAAAAAAAAAGCTTTCCAAAAAAGGAAAAAAAAGTTTAACTTGGAAAAAAGCCATAGCAAGCCTAAAACTGCTCTCAATGGGGAGGTGGGAACAGCTCATTCTCCTGCTGTGTTACCTGGGATATCCCTGGGAGGACCAAGAGTGCAGGAGAGAGCCAGTGAGTCACAGGGAGCCCAATAGCTTGCTGGGCTCACCATGGGTTACTTACAAGAGGATTCAACATATGTGGCTTATTGCCAGGGTGGTGAGTCCGATGCCCACTGACATCCATGCCCGCTGCCCCCACTGACTGGGAGCAGCTCTCTTGCAGGTCCTGGAGATGCCAGAGGCTGAACCTGCAATGCCTCCGTCATGCATTCTGTCCTCTTTCCGACTGCTGTGCCTGAACCTATCTGGACAAGCGACCAGATGCCATTTGGCAGAGCGGCAATGCTGAATTTAGACCCAAGCCTGTGACTCAGTAGAGCTGCCCCTGCAGCAAGATCGTGTGGCAGTACCTTGCCTTGCTCCATTTCAGGCTGAGTCTCTTGCAGTGAGTGCACCACAGTTAGCCAGATACGGAGGAGGCCATCTGAGCAGGAGCCGGCACTGAGAAGTTGGGCGACACTTGTTAATGCACATGATGCACGTGGAGAATAGCGGTTCATTGGGGAGATTCGCTTGGGGAGTAAATTTTGCTGAGTATTGCATGAGTCTGGAATCGAACTGTCCTTTCTCACCTCCCAGCTGATTATTTTATGTATTTATACTCGCCCCTCTATTTGTTAAGGTGACTTAGTAGTGTGTATGTGTGTGTGTAAGCATACAAGTGCACATGGACTACACACTTTCCCTTCAAACCAATCTGTAAGAATGAAAGAAACATTGTGTTAGACCATCTAAATAGCTGAGGACCCAATGGGTGCAGAATACAGCAGGGGAGAAGAGGGCAGGTTTTTTATATTCCCTGCTGGCCAGAAAATGCTCCATCAACTCAGCAGGTAGCGCATACTCATTGCTATGCATCTGCACCATACATGTTCCTTCCTATAACTGCTTGTACCTGCACAAGGCGTGGGCCATTTTGGCTTGAGCTTCCATGATCCCTCACCACTAGCTATGCTGGTTTGGCCTGATGAGAACCAGAAGACAAAAGATCCAGAGGATGACAGTCGCCCACTGCCATGAGGACTTCTGCAGAGCACCATGCATCCAACAAAATCAAATTTTTCTATTCCTGTTTTCTTGTTGAGAAAGCACATGATTAATATGGAATCAGGAAGAATAGAGAAGACTGCCTTGCTCTGCGTCAAAACGTTGCTCCGCCTGTTTCTACGATGGCCTACACTGACTGGCAGCAGCTTGCCAGGGACTCAGGCATCCTTTACCTTAGGATTCTATCACTTGTGCTCACCCTCAGAGCCACAGAGGGGAAACGTAAGACTGAACCCACCCAGTGGAAGTCTGCTTCTGCAGTGGGATCCCCCCATCCTCTTGTCCTGCCCGCAGCCCCAGGGTGTGCTTATCCATTCCGGAGTGTCCCCCAGCCCAGCAGATGAGACCTGAGGTTGGATGCAAGGGGCGGTGTCCTTCTCCTGGCAGAATAAGACGACTGCATGTCAGCTATGTTTTGTGTGAAATGCAGTTCAGAGGACTGTGATTTGGGGCTAGAGCACCTGCTTTGCACACACAGGGCCCCTGGCATCTCCAGGTAGGGCTGGGAAAACTGCTGCCAGAAACCCTGCAGAGAGGCTGGCAGCCAGTGTCAGTAATACTAGTCTAGATGGATCAATAGTCTCATTCAGCATAAGCAGCTTCCTTTGCTTCTGCATTCATATGTATTACTAACCATAGAACTGACACAACTGTATGACAAAGATAAATAAGGATTTCAGCTTTCAGTGTGACTTGAGTGCCAATGTTCTTCTACTGCAGAGTAACATAAAAGGACTATTTCATGTTTTCTCACAGAAGTCAAATGTTCAGTTCTGTACACAAGTTGTACAGTTATGTACAAGTGCTTATATTGCTAATGTTGTGCTGCTCCGAGGTACAAGAGAGTTTATGAACGTGTCCAGCATTACGGATGCAGTGTTCAGAATAATCCCTTCTCTCTTGATATTAGCTTGCCCACTGTGTACTCCTTGAAACTGAGGTGGAGGCCAGGCATTTGTATCTTTCGATTTCTGTCTTAATTCCAAAGATCAAAACTCTCCCATTTCTTTTTGGGTGTGGTAGTTCTTGCTCTGCGAATAAAGCATTAAAAAAGAAAACCAAAGGGCTGGCATGGAGTTTCTCTCCATACAGCTGCATTCCCCATCGCTCTGGTTACACACGCTCTTGTCTTTTATTGAGCTTTAAAAGGCAACTTGTTCAAATGAGCACTGCAACAGAAGAAAGACCCACAGAGTATATTTGCATGTATTTAACGACTCACTCTGTGACTCTGTGCTGGGTACATTTCCAAAAAAGGTTTATTCTATCACTGCGCTATTATTCAGCTAGCACCCTTGCTACTGTATTGTTAAAAGGTTTTTTCTTTTCTTTTTTGTTTATCTTTAACACAAAGTAACAGACCTGCCTACTCAGGGGCTGCATTCTACACCCAAAGCCCAGGATTTGAGCAGGGCACAAAGCCAGTTGAGGTGTTTCAAGGATGGGGACCCCTCCCCCCCACTGGCACCGCATAGCAAAGTCGCTAATCTCACATTTTGTGGCTTGTACTAAGTTTCACTTTGATTTTCTTTGGGCTAAGTCCAACACAGCTTAAAACCAGGAGAATCACGTCTGGCAAATCTCTTGCTTGCTTGTGTACAATTCAGTAACCTCAAGCGGGATCCAGCCAACTTCCATAGGAGCGTTTTGGTTAAATTACTCCAAGCTTCCATCCCTTGCCTTACTGTGTGTGTCCGTCCATATAAGTCATCACGAGCAGGGCGGGAGGAGGGGGATTGTCATTACTGATTTATGACCTCTATGGTTCGACTGCCAGTAGTTTTATACAATATCCAGTCAGCCAATTCTAGCAGTCAGCTCAGTCCAGCGGCAAATATTTTCAGCACCTCACCACAGACAAACAGGCCCCCCCACATCCTCTGTGTTTTGTAAGGGCGGCCTGCTGACTGGGGTGAGGGCGACCACGCAAGCTGCTAAGCTGGTTCTGCGGCTGTAATTGGAGCCTGGCCGCCTAGGCCCTTTTGTGCACGTTTCCTTGGACACCAGGGGCAGGACGCCGGCACATCCCAAACACAGGCACCGCTTGCCACACGGGCTGCAGACATGAGAGGCCTGCTAACCACGCGGGAGCAGGAGGGCTGGAGGGAGCTCATTCACAAGGAGGCCTCCTGCAGGGTCAGCTGGA